CAGAGGCGAGTTATTCGAGACCACAGATGAGCTGAATTTGGTGGTTAGATGCGTGATGATTTGGGGGCCCTGAGACTGGGATTACACCCCGGTCACAACTAACGAAACATTTTCCATGGCTAATACGGAAAGAAATTGGCTCGAGCCTTGGAAGCAGGGATGCGAGTCATGCCTTCAGGCTTGGGTTCGGGTTGTAATAGTAGACTTGATAAAGTGATCCAGCGCCCCAAGTCAGTAGGCATGGGGAAAATATATTGCAGAGGATGGGATAGATGAAAAAAACCCAGGCAATAAAAGCATCTTCCCGAAACTCACGTACCTATTTGACCTGGTTCCTCATTTGTAGATCGTAGTATGCGAATATGCTGCGGCCGCACGGAGATACGGAGGCGGATACGACAATGAACATAGAACTATATCACGATTGTTGGGTGGTTTATTTGGCACCGGTTCAAGGTCTGTGCTCAACGTATTCGGCAGTCGTCCCATGTAGAAATATTTTCCCCGCAATCCTACGCCTATAGGTTGTTGAACACATTGTGTACTTCAATATGGGTGGTTGCAATCTGTCAGCTTACCGGCAATTGTATGAACTAGTAAGAGGCCTTTGGTGCCCTATAACGATAACCGCTTCCAGTAGACCTGGGGTCAAGACATCCGGTTTCGAGCGAGACCAGCATGCCTACGTGTCAGTGATGGGAATAAGACAGCGAATCTGGAGGGCAGCAGGAATGACGCGGAGATAATCAAAACCAACACTCGCTGTAAAACAGTAAAAAGACCCTCCCTGGTGCAGAAGGTTTAGTACGCTTTTTGGGGCCAAAACTGTTACCAGGCGCATTACTCCCCCATTCCAATTTTCATGTAGACTTGTAAGAAGTTCAATTTCATCCTAAGCAATAGAGTTCAATATAATGGAAATTTGAATTCTTTATAACCCTAAAGAATGTATCTATATTATGCTTTGCACCATCTGCTATATATGTATATATATAGTTGAAGGATCATCACCGAGTTAGACCATTAAAATTCCCGCTCAAGCTATTCGATGACGGTACTTGACAGTACCTCTAGGCCCCCTTACCATTCGATGCTCTAAATTCTTGACTCTCTTAGGTAGCCCCGTTGTAGCGTGTAGTATCTACTATCCCCAGACTACACATTGATTCCACGAGATCATGCATTTTCAAAGGAAGCTACCCTGCTTACCTACCCCAAAGAATTATCCTCGAGTTAATCCGTCCATAAAAAAATATGAGCAGTTAAAGTAACGTAGGCAGGTATAGCTAATAAATAATACATTGGATTTAAACTTATCTTATTTATTCCCTCTCAGTTGCAGCAATGGACTCAAAATGCTGCACAGCCAGGTAGTTTGTTTGCAGAAATTCCCTTGCCCAAAGGCAGAATTTCCCTTAAGACACACGCCAGTCATTGTTGTGCAAGCAAATGGGAATGCACTTCTTTAGGGTCATCTGAAGATGACATCATTCCCTGTAAAAAGTTGTTCTAGAAGGTGACACACGGCTTCGAGAAGGATCTCTCGTGCACAAAGAACATTCCATGAGATAGCGATGCATGAAAAACCACAAGTCGCGCACAAAGGCAAAAGGAGTCTCAATGCTGAAGAACCAGGTGAAATTAAGCGACAACTTTTGCTTTTTGAGTTGAGGAGTTTTCAGTCCGAGTTTCCCCAGTAATTAGAGCATCCGGGACTTGGTAACTACACCGAACAATAAATATGGCAACAGCCCTATGACAAGTTCAGTGTCGGGCAGTGCGATCAGTGTTACCCAGAGTCATTTGACAGGTTACATGTCTGTTACACAATCTACTCTGTGGCCCGCCATGCGTTCTGGAAAAGAGTCGAATCAGCTCTGCGTTATGCACAGCCACATAAATGGGATAAATCATACATAACTCGCGGGTTTCCTCGGATGTTTTCCATGTCTCAAAAAATTACTAATTAACCCCTGCTATCTTTTTGAAGTAACTTAAAAAGTTGAGTTACAGTGCTGACTCTGCCGATCCAAGCAAGAGAAGACGCCGTCTTCTTTCATACTCACCGCCAACCAAAACGAGTACTGGGCATGATGTCAAACGGACGCATGATTAACTTAGTTAGCTACAAAGTTGACAGCACAGGTCTCTCCTCACCAATGAGCAAGTGCCTCTACCTATTTCCTATCTAGGTAGGAGATGCGATAGAATAGAAAGCAGCCTCGAAGCACGGTCCATCATTTCGTTGCATTCGTTGGGGGCGCAGCATTCCGGCTTTCTTTTTGTTTCGCTCTGAAACAACTTGGTAGTACATGGTTTTTTGTCTGCCTGCGTAAGGGGCATAGTGTACGATATTAGGGTTTTGACTTTCAGGTGAGGTGTGGGGGTGGTTCCCAGCCAATCAAAGCTGCGGTGGGGGGTGGCGATCTGATTGGCTGGAAACGCCATCTTATCAATAAGTAAATAAAATGAATTAGTATGCCGTGGGCCAGTCGCATTAATAGAAACATCAATTATGAATATGGAATGGCTAATAAGAAAGCAAAATACACATGTACTAAACTCTAGGCTTCCATTTTCGACTCATACAGACCTTTATTACTCATGCAGACACTCGGGCGCTCAGAGCCCTCTAGCGAGGGGCTAGTTTAGGACCCAAGACTACCCAAATCAAGCATTGCTGACTTTGACGCATATGCCATGCAATAAATGATAATTCAGAACGTGCCGTAGGCCAAATAACCATTAAAATATGTAATAATTACATTCGTCGCAGTGTGGCTTAGCTAGTCAGGCATCCACCGAAAATAAACAAATTATCCATCCCACTCCTGGAGAAAGTTTCCCGAGGTTGGGCCGCTGCTAAGACATAGTTGACTAACTAATTAACACCTTCCTTTTACGTCAGCTGCGTTGGTTCAGCTTCATAGTCTGCACCGCACAGTCTCCACAATTAGAACCATTTTGCTAGGCATTCCATGTCGTCTAATATGTGCTTTCGCCGGAGGATGCGCTATGTTAATGTATCTCGATTGCCGGAGTAAGCAAGACCCGTTTCAGGGTAAAGTTTAATCGTTAGCAACACCGTCGTCATAGACCTTTTTTGAGACCGCTTTTGCTGTTTCTGTTCGAGTTGGATGGGGGTGTAGCTATACACCTGTCTGAGGGACAAACGTATTCAGAAGAATAGCTGAACAGGCAATGCGCTGAGAAAGAGAACAGAGAAGAGGAGAGAAGAAGCGAGGAGGGCGAGAGAAAAGGGGCGTTTTTAGAGGCGGCTGCCCACCCCTTGATTCTGATTGACGATTGAGGCTCTGCAACTTGGCCAATGCGGAAGGGCAGATCTATCTCATTCATGTGACTCGAGAATCGAGAGCAACAAACGATCCCGTCGGAGCAATCAGTACCGACGGAGTTGGTAAGATTTTTTCTTGTTTTGTGATTATTCAATATTTACGCCGGAGTCGGAGTCGAAGTAGACTTTGCCCGCTTGGCTTGTTTCGGCCTAGCCCGCCGGCTCTTAGTCTTATTGGGCATGGCGGCTTGGCGGTTAGCGCGTGCCCAAGGGAAAGCGCGCCGTGATTCGCTGTTGACTAGGGGGGCCAGGCCAATCAGATCCGCCCGAGCGTAGGTTTCCCAGTTTGGACTAGCTCACATTGGTAACTCGGCCAGCCGCAAATTGAAAGCAGAGCTGTAAAAAAAAAAAAAAATATACTGAACGGTAAACGAGACGCAGCTTTCGTGCAATCAGGAAGGAAAAGAAAAGGGCCAGGGGAAATGTCAACCGCTAACTCGCCACCGTTAAACTCGCTGGAAGCTTGCTTGGCACTGTAGCTACTAGCTACTGCTCTAGCCCGGAGAAGCTGGCCACAGTCCTCTCGCTACGGACGCCAAGTACATAGAGGCTTGGAAGCGAGTGAGTTTAATCTTGATGATCTGATTACCTTAGTTCACATTCTCCGACTCCTTTCCTCGGAGGAGACGGACCAGCAAACACCGAGTGCCAGGGCTGCATTGAGCAATGCATGCTGACGGGTTTGCAAGCAAGCCAGGCAGCATCCCTTTCCCCGTGCAGGCCCAGAGTAGGCCACAATCACGCCCAATCACATCCAATCAGACCGTTGTCCTGTCTTAAACTTACGATCGCCGTCATGTCGGAAAAGTTAGCGCAGTTGTTGAGTAAACTGGAGCTGGACTCCGCCACGCACCGCGCCAAGCGGCCCCAAACCACACAGGCCACATGGTTTTGGCAAAGCTGAAGTGTGAAGGAGAAGGCCTTTGCCGAATGAGAAGACGGGCTAGAAGGGAAACAAGAAAAACAAAGAACAAAGGAATGACGCTGGCGCTTGGCCCAGTGCGTTAGTTATCCTTCCGCCGCCGCCCTTCTCCATTGTATTTCCTCCTAGCATTTAGAAAAAGCAAGCCCGTTGATCCGCCCAACGAACAGTCATTTTTAGCGGTACCTGCACCTGACTTGAAATCCCAGCATGACGGGCCATTCTTAATTATGTCTTGGCCCTACGTAGGACTGTCTACTACAAATATTCAACCCTTCGGGCCATAGAGGGAGCGAAAGAGCAGCCGAATCACACAGCCTTCGTCGTGCTGTCTCTCAAGGTCTCAAATTATCATCAGCTGACTTTCTATCGCCTCTCGTTCTCTTTCCTTTTTCCTCCGAATATATGCAATATGCAACAGCCGAGGATACTAGCTTGAAAAAGACCATTCTTCGCAAACACGTGCGGTTTTGGAATCGCAACCACGGCCCCATCACTGGTTACACTGTACCGTTCTGCGTTTGCTGGGCTGAAACGAGAATTGGTCCGTTTCATCTTTTTTACTCTGTATATATATACACTCATAATCCTCTTCTTCACAAATCGTTCACATAAGCAGTCACCGTGACATGTTGGGAAATATATAAGGCTACAACCCCGGATTTTCACATCATAACGACTATTCCGATCTCGCACAACAATTCTTTCATCGAGATCAGAGTCATGCCTGGCCCCGGAGGAGGTCCGCCTCGAAAAAGTCATACCAAATCAAGGAATGGGTGCCGGACATGCAAACGAAGGCATATCCGATGTGACGAAACATTTCCTCAGTGGTATGTTGTTTGCTGAAGCTCAATAAGCGTATATAATCCGGCTAATATATGATCTGCAACAGTCGCAATTGCACAAAGCACAATTGCAGATGCGACTATATGGACGTGCAAACGACTCGTGATGACTCTGTGCAGACACCGAAGACTCCTCTCGATTTATTGATGACCCCGGAGATTGATGCTGAAATTGAGAATTGGCGCACCACGGGAATTCCTCCGTTTCAAGAGCTTTCTCAATGTCCTCGGAATGATTGGCATCGGTTTTCGAAATCGACCCTTCGGCTGATCCATCACATTGCTGGCCTATCCATCGACTTGCACCGCCGGGGTCTCGGTCACACTACAGTCTGGTCTGCCTGTATGCCACGGTTAGTTTCTATTCTTACTCGTGATTGATCGATTGATTCACGCTAACTGATGGGCTGAATCTTGTTCTTTTGACAGTCTCCTCGCCCTTGCTGTGATGAGTGACTTTGTCATGAACGGGATTCTCGCACTATCTGCATTACACATGACGTATGTGACTGGTAGCAAGGATATTTTGAATCTATCACATCATTATCGAAAAACCGCATCCAAAGGACTACAGAATGCGCTGGGGACGTTCTCACAAGCAAATTGTGACGCAATACTTGCAGCCTCGCTTGTTTTGTCGTGGCAGGCCACGGATTGGTAGGTTTCCAAGGCCCGGGTATTAGCAAAGCGTGTTGCTTACTTCGTGATAATAGGGAATCAATATCGACTCTTCAGAAGGGAATAATATATGTAAGAACCAAACTAGCTTGGAGATATTGAAGAGAATCAGATCGCTGACTTGGCCTCCAGGTCCTGGATTCCATGCACCCGTCCTGGAAAGAGTCATCGGAAATTGCCCAGATTTTAGACAGTCAAAGAATTCTACGGACCAGGAATTCGACATATAACCTCGATAGTTCCCCCGGAGGGACACCACACTTCCGGAATGAGATATTAAGAAATATCGACAGCACTATTGTTGATTTACATCGATCTCAAGAGCGTCTAAGCCATATTTCCGAGTTTCATGACACCATAACAGAATTGATTGACTATGTGAAGCTGGTACGCAACGAGCTACCAATGCAATCTCAAAAGGCCGCCTTTACGCGACTTCAGACTTTGCGAGCGTGGATCTTCTGGTTGCCAACCAAATTGCTTCGAGGTGGTGAGGGCGATCTCGTTGCCCTATCTGTGCTGGCCCATGTTTACTCGACAGCACTGGTCTTGGAACCTTTCTTTCCTAGCATCGAAGGCTCATATATCGGTTGCATGACGCTTAGTCTCATTCAAAACATCGATTCAATCCTCCTATCTCGAAAGTCCAGCTTCCCTCTGTCGCATATCACACAATTAGCAGCCGGTCTGATGGACGCCCCCCGACATAATTTTAACGACTACAAAAGCCACACCCAATACGCCCATCAGATGCAGCACATGAGCCACGTGGTTCCAACGCCTCCCAGTCCATATCATCAATTCCACGACTTCTCCTCGTCGTTCGTCACCAGCGGCGCATCATACACTCCAGCTATGCTTTCATCATTTCCTCTCGCAACGACCGCCGCTGCCGCCACCACCACTTCCCCCTTTCAAGCTTCCCCTACGTACAGATCGAGCGGCAATTTTTCGAATGTGTACATGAGTCCTTCAATACATGCGTCTGAATATTATGACGATTCTCTCTCGGATTACAGCAGACCGGGGGCCGCTATTGATCATTCCGCTGGCTTCTCGTCATTTGGGAGCGAGGCGATTCACGGTATGCCCACGACCGAAGCTGGCGGTACATTCCATTCCGATCTTGCTCAAGATATCCCGATTACTGGTCCGAGCTCTACTTCTGAACTGTGGACATGAGATGGCAAAAGAAAGAGAGAGAAAACAGAAAAGGCCTCACGCGGGGCGCTACGGATACATATAAAAGTTCAATCCTACTTTGCTTACGATTCAGTTACGGCGATTCCAAATACAAGAATAACGGCTTAAGTTAAAGCTCACTTGCGGAAAATCTCTATCTCAGCGACATACATTTTTTCCTCTTTTGGGCGTTCAAAATAACGGTGGTGATGGGATTGGATGATTCTGGCAGACTTAGAACGGCGGGCGTATGGATATTTCTTAAAAAAGAAGGGCATATATATATTTTCTTTACTATCTGGGCTTTGCGATGTGGTTTCGGGATATTTTGGTCTTTTCCTTTTAGTTGCATTCTTATTTGTGTTTATTTACTGTGATGTGGACTTAGCAAAGGTAGAGGAATCCTGCCACCAACATGCCATGCCGTTGCAGCGGAGTCATTTGACTCACGCTTCAGGAACCGCAGATAGATGCGATTGGTAGGAACGAATAGTTGTTGGTACAAAATGCTTCAAGTCAAATTGAAAACGGATGGCCTGTGAGGTAACCGCATGGGCTCTAACAAGTCAGCTAGCTGTTCAGAGAAAGAACGGACATCTGGCTATGTATGCAAGTAGGCCCATGCCCCTCGTTATCCTCCGTCATGCCCAACAAGGCTGATAGGTAGCCGAAGCCTAGGCCTGGGGACAGGGTAGAGAGGACTTACAGCTAGCTGGTTCTGGTCTCTTATTGACTGTAGGCATATCGGTTCACTTGCCCTGCATCGAAAATATTTATCGCATGCTCATGAGAGGAAATACCTGCTGAAAATATCAGGACTATGTCCAACGCAAGAGCCGACGCAGACCTTGCTTCAGGTTACGCACAGTCGACCGCTCCATCTATGGCAACCTCTAGTCAAAGGACTGGCCTTGAGACCAGTCACTGGAGCACATAGAGCGCGGAGGAAAGTTTGGCTGGAACCCGCACGCACCAATCCACTAGGTCGGGAAATGACAGCATTGCTGCTAACCGGGAATCTATCACGAGCGACACGTCTGGGAATTCAACAAACACCAGTGATAGTGTCGAAGCAGCACGAGAACAGGCAATGCTTGCCTTGGAACATGGTGGACGTGCATCGGAATCCGAGGACTGCTGAAGCACTGTTGCCCGAGTTGCTGAGGATCCTAATGCGGCACAGCAACTGAGTAGTAGCGGTGCTGATGCGCAGAAGCGAAGACGAAGGCAAGGCTAGAAGCAGCATGAACCAGGAGACGGAGAATTTATTCTAATCTTGTTACATGCCTATCGCATGTAAACCTTCCCGCTCTTGTCACTATTAAAAATCTCTCGTACTTCCTTGAGATACTGAGCCAAATCTTCCAATTTTGATCTCACGAATGAACCCATGCCTGGGGTCCAGAATGGAGACACAGCTGCACTCAAGGATGGCCCGTCAGGCGCTTCTTCATATAGCGGCTGCAGTTGTTCTCTAAAAATGTTAAATAAACCCGTGGGAGGTCTTAAGACGAGCAAGTACCAGTAATGACGCTGCTCCCAAGCGCGATCCATAGTTGCGGCCAGAGAGTACATTCTGTTCTTATAGCAAAGCGGCACATTGGTCTCTTCATGCCTGATAGCATTGGTGAGTTTCCTGTAGCGCTTCTCGAACCGCTTGTACTCTGGCCCGGTGAGTTGGTCGACCCCCTTGCCTGTAAGCCAAAATGGAGCCAATAAATGCTCAAGCGGTAATGAACATGCGCATTCTAGATCTATGATATGCTTAATATTCCAGTCTTTATCGACAAAGATATTGCTGGGATGCATATCCGTCAGGTACATCACGAATGGTCCATCACGAAGAGATCGATCAGTGAAGTGAGCAAGACTCGCTCGCGTAAGTACTAGATCTACAGCTTGACGACGTGGGTCATCTTCACCGAAGACTGCATTTCCTTGATAGCGTAGACGATTGTCATGGCTAGCGAGTAGATCCAAGTAGAGTAGATCCAAGTAGAACGTATCAGCACTTGTATAAGTTGTATCCCGCTTGGAATGTTCCAATTCTCTAGTTGTTGTAAATGGCAGAATAAGGGACGATTAGATAGGCTTAACTCGCCATTGTTATTAATAGTCAAAGAGCCAATTTGAGGTTGCGGAATCTTAGCAAGTGAGATGAAGATCCTTGCTATGCTTCGATAGAGATTTTGTATTTGTGCCTCAGTATGTGTTTGATTAAACACATTAGAAAGCATCTGCTCGTCCTCGGTCTCGACCCAATTAACCAAGGTATAGCCGTGGTCTAAGAAAGCTGTTCTCATCCGAGGAATGTAATCACAAAGCCTTGTTTTCCCACATAGGCGGTAGAAAAGATTACAGATACAGGATTTTATCCTCTGCCAAGGTGTGGCGAATCTAGACTGAAAGAACTAACATCATTAGAGACCATACCATTTATGAAAGAACCTCGGCGCTTACACTAAGTCCACTAGGAACCCCGAATCCGCGCAGCGTAGGAATTGGAACATCTGGACAGTTTTCGCCTATCCAGTATAAGTTGCAGCCTCGGATCGCAACTTTTCCTCGCAATTTCCGGGATGGAAATCCTCACCAACCTTGTACGGCAAAGGAACCCTGAATGCCATCCTAGTTGGAGGGCATATCCCTGACTGCGTGATGGATACTGGAATGCAGATGTTGAAGCTCCCATGTATCCATGATATCCTTTTCTCGTCGAACATGTCCGGTATATGAACCAAATCAGGGCTTGTCAACCCGCAATGAGAAGCTACAACACTTTGAATTTCTTCCTCTTTCTTCTTCATTTCGTTATAAAATTCCCCTCGCTTTTCCGCGTATTGTAATCTTATCCTCATATCATCCTCTTCATCTTCGGCCTCGGACAGAGTAATAAAGCCGCGAAGAAGAGCTTTGCGTGGCTTGCTGGGAGCATCTGAGTTGCTGGATGGAGCATCATGACTACCTTCCGGCGGAGAATTGTCAGCTAGGGAATTCTCCTGGTTTGTTTGCGACATTGTAGTAGTTATGTCGGTGCCAACTTGCCCAGGGGTCCGATGCAGCTGCTAGTTAAACAGTGGGTCTTGTGAGCTTAATACGGCAACAACCACTGCCTTCTTGGCAATTGGTGGGAAATTTCTCACACTAATTCTTCGCAGACCATAAGTTGCAAATTTACAAATTATTATTCCTGAGCTTTCAGGCTGATAGCTATATTACCTATTAGAGAATAGCTCCCGTTGCGACTTCCCTAAATTACGTTAGCTTTCACTTGGCTGGCCGCTGAATCATCATTACAACTTTGGACTCCACAAACATTTGCATATTCTGCCTAACAAATCGCTCTTTGCTATCAAATATTGCAATAGAGAAGGTCAAATAAAGGAATTAGAAAGGAGAAGACTCAAGTATCAATTTGAGACCATGGCCGACGGTGGTGGATGGAGCACCATCGAGTCTGACGAGGTGAGCACGAGGGTTTGCATTAAGCGTCACTTGTCGCATTATGCTAACTCCAAAATAGGGTGTTTTCACTTCGTTGATTGAAAACCTGGGAGTGAAAGGTGTACAATTCGAAGAACTCATCTCTCTCGATGCCGACACAATACGCTCGCTGAGGTTTGTCTCTCTTTACACCAGTTTACCTACATTGGCTCTTTGTGAGGCTAACATATCATCCTGATCTACCTCAGTCCCGTATACGGCGTCATCTTCCTTTTCAAATGGATTGGCGGACAGTCGCGCGATAGCTCCGCACCGGTAGACGGCTCCTACGATCAAACCGCCGCTGATCAAGGGCTTTTTTTCGCGGCACAAACGATTCAGAATGCTTGCGGAACACAAGCGATTCTCTCAGTTATATTAAACCAAGATACCCCTGGTTCAGGCACCCCCGTCCCGATCGACATCGGATCGGAGCTCTCTTCTTTCAAGACGTTCACCCATGGCTTCCCATCCGACCTCCTCGGTGAAGCGTTATCGAACTCCGAAGCCATCCGTACCGCGCACAACGCGTTTGCGCGCGCAAGCCCATTCGTCGACGAGACACAGCGAACCGCACAGGACGATGAAGGCGACGTCTATCATTTCATCGCCTACACGCCCGTCAACGGAAAACTGTACGAATTAGACGGTCTTCAGCCCTTCCCCATCAGCCATGGCGAGTGCGACAATGAAACTTTCCCCGAAAAGGTCATTGAAGTGCTTCAACGAAGAATTGCGCGATACCCGGCCGGCGAAGTGCGCTTCAATTTGATGGCGGCTGTGCGCGATTTGCGCATTCGTGCACAAGACATCGGTGACGTGGAACTGCTGGAGCGCGAGAACGCGAAGAGACAAGCATGGGCATGGGAGAATACGCTGCGCCGGTCGAATTTTGTCGGGTTTATCGGTGAGGTTGTAAAGAGTGTGGTGCAAAAGAAAGTCGCCGAAGGGAAATACGAGGAGTGGGTTGAGAATGCGAAGAAAGAGACCTTGCGAAGGGCTGAGGCGAGGAGCAAAGGGGGCTATTGATTTGCCTCTCTGCCCTTCTTTCGGGTCTCTTTTTATGTTCCTATTTTGCATACTACGATCTTTGGGCATCGTGCATTTACGGATCCTTTCTACTGTATTATACATGACTGTACTCTGTGCTTGATGTGATAACTACGATATGACCCTTCATGATGATTTCGTTTTTTCTATCTGCTGCATTGATCGGTGGATCATACTATCCTACGAATATCAAAGGAAATACAATACTTCTGATTGAATATATCACACATTGAACGAAGAATGGGTATACGCTCTGCGTGAATACAAGATGATTTATGCAACGCGAAACACACCGCCTAGCCGACCAACTAGTTAAGTAGAAAGCAAAGAAGTAGCCCCCGAAAAGATAGAAGATATTCAATAATTCAATATCCGCTTCTTGACCACCTTCAACAGTTCGCTCGGCAGCTCACTCTCACGTACAAGCCCCATAGCAAGTACATCGGCCCAGAAGAACAGCGCACGGTCTTGCGCATAGGCCAGATAGTCAAACTCGCTTTCGGGGTCAGTTTCTTCCACCAAACTGGTTTCGTGTTTATCGTTATCGTGATTTCCTACAGCGGTGGCATTCTCTTCTGCGCTCTGTTTCTTTTCCTCTTTTTCTTCTTCTTCCATGGCTGGCACTTTCGCCTGCACGATACCCCATGCAACCCACTGCGCAGAATTAGCTACGCGCCATAACCGCGCTTGCCGTAAATGATGCTGGATCTCCGCCTCGTAAACTTCTTCATATACAATTCTGTCTGGAGTGTCTGGCGTGTTTAATTGCGAGGACAGACTCAACATTGGCGCATCGAGCGAAAAGGGCGCTAAACGCGGAGTCGGGATGGAAGATGGCGCTATGTCTGGCGTGGTGAGTGGTGAAGTGGCTATACCCCCGCCGCTGGCGTTTTGTGAGGAATGCGATCGGCCGTGATACACGTATGCTGAGATGAAACGGTACTGTTCTTCAGGTGTTGGATAAGCGCGGGTGTTGCATGCCCACGGTCGCTCGGGGTCGTGGTAGTTGTAGCACCATTCAGTAAAGTGGTTTGCGAATTCAAGTCCGGGCATGTTTGCAGACGAATATTCAAAGTCAATCACCACTAGTTGTTTGTGGGAATTGGCTGGTAATAGTAAAGGGGATTCTTCCTCGGGTTCAAGACGGAGGAGATTGCCATATTGGGTCTGCCACATGCCAAGTCAATCAACGCATAAGAAAATATTTTGTAAGCATATTGAACATCAGGGTGAACTCACATCATTGTGCGCAAAGACGAGCTGTTGCTTAACCTCCTTGATGCCTCCCAGATGATCAATCAGCCAAATTCGGTAATTCTCCACGGCTTTTCGAAATGTTGCCCACGGCACGCCGCAAACCAACCCCCGTTGACGCCAGGGTTCTGAGCAATCCTTCCGATCCAAGAGAATTTCCTTGTCAAGCCAAGATATGACTTGCTCACAGCGATCTACCCAATTGTCCCAATTACGGAACACGGTCGGTCCCCCCTGTCGCTCCTCCTCGAGCAGTTCGATGCCATCATGAAGCTCCCTCATACGTTTAGCTATATGTCGCGAAGTCTCGGGATTTCTCAGCTCTTGGGGAGTCAACGGCTGGGCGTTGAAAAACTCTTCAAATCGCCCGTTTGTGAATGTACCAAGAACTCGGGGTCCGATGTGCTTTCGCCCTAGTCGGCGAAGAACTTGAAGTTCTGCTTCTCGATCGATGAGATGCTCTACTTGTGGGCCGTAGATACGGAGAAGCAGTTTGCTAGAGATGTTGTTAGAAGGAATTGAAACCCGAACATATACAGTAGTGGAACTTACGGAGGAGGCCTCCTTGGGGCCCTTATTGCAGTCCTATCAGCATTCGGTGTGGGAGGCGATGGACGCGGTGGTTTCACGACATAGACAGCATTAGTAAGAGCACCGCTGAGGCGAGTTACTTCAATGTCAGCACAGTCTTCCACGGCAACTTTGCGCCATCCCTTCAGTCGAAGCGTATGGGTCAAGCGTAGAATTTCCGATTTGAAGGTTAGCCAGTGTGGACTCTCTTTCACGTTTCGACTTTGCGAGTCAGCGGAAAGAGTAAGATGGTCTGTGGAACTGCCACCAGTGTAACCCAGGGTTTTGGTATTGTCGAGGACAGCATCGACACTGGGCACGACGGCATCATCAAAGTAATCCGAATCCGAGCCCGAGCCTCTCCTTAGCCCCTTCAACCGCGGGTGGCGATGCTTTTTGGACCGTCTGCGCTGAACAGGGTTTGCCTGTTCCCTTGCTGATGCCGCATAATGCTCAAGGATGGTTTCCAACTGGTCCAGCGCAAGTCCCTTCTCAGAGCCGAGAGAATGCCGTTTCTCTTCTACATGAAGTCGCCCATTAACACCCGTAGTGAGAATTCCATCGCCGCCATTTCTGTGCTTACTTTGCTCTTGGTGAAGCCAATTCAGAACTTGACTGAACAATGCATGTTCAGATGGCTTGCTAGTAGTCGTTAAATCTTTATCCTCCTCGTCCTCTTGATAATCTAAGCGCAGACTAGATACTTGACTGCGAAGAGAGTAGACAGGGGAAGGCTGCAAATTCGGCGATCTTGCCGTTATTCTTCTGGCAATAGGGGCTCTGTATTGCTTTGTCGACATGCCTTCTTTGCCTACGACGCCATTATCTCCGGCTTCCAATGAAGAGACACTCAGAGACATGAGGGAGTTCTCATTGGTGCGAGCCTCTGGGGTGGTAGTTAGCCTTGTCAAGTGGCATTTCAGCAATTTCCGATGTAATTTGTAACAGTACTACATCCTTCAGGGCCGCAGTCAAACAAGGACGCGGGGCGGAATACATATAAATACACACACGGAACGTACCAGGCGATGGATTATCAGCAATCCCATCATGCTCGCAACCAGTTGCCTCACTAGTCGAGGCAGGCATTTTTCACGGTAGATGAGCAGGTGGGTTTGAAAGCTTGACTAACGCGTTGTCCATCCCATCCACGAATCCAATCCAACCGCAATAAAATCAGCAGCACACAGTCTGTGTAGGATACGACCGTCTGAGATAGCAGTCGGTCGATGAGGATTGGGAAAGAATGCAACGAAGTCAAGAGCGGTTCACAGATAAGAAACAAGAACAGCAAAGCAGCTCCCCCGCCACTCGACTTGAAAAGTATTAGCGTTGGAGGTGGGTACCACAGGACTGTGAAAATTGGATAAGCCCCAGTGCGCCCGTCGCTTAAAAGCAAGAAAAACACCGCGGAATAGCCGGCAATATCCCCCTGCATGCAAAGGGCAAACACAGAGACGAAGTTGAAGTCGAAGAAGAGACAAATACTTCAGTGACGTCCGTCCATGCCTGATTTATCGAGCCGACTGGCTAGCGCCGTCTCTGATTGGCTGGGCTGTGCTTCGTTTGCTTGGCGTGCACAAAACGCTGCAGGAATTAATTACATACCGTATCAATACAATATCATTACACGGTCTGCCGAACGTCGATGCATTCTTTCTCTTTCCTGTCTGTCTGTCTCCTTGCTGTCGTCGATAGATTCGTGAATATATATGCAGGCCATGTCTGGCTTTTCCCCTCCTCCTCCCCCTCCTTTTCCACCACTACCGACAGTCTATAGAACTTTGCATCATTCCCCTTCCGCGGCCGTCAAGCTACCTTCCGTAGCTATCGCAGCTAACGATTTTCCTAGCTCTTTCCTAGTCGAGTTGCTGGTCTTCAATGGCGCCCCATTCATGGATCACTGGGCCTACTTTGTGCGCTCGCATGGCCACCCTGACATCGGCGTCCTGATCCAAGCGTCTGGCGACGTCACGAATGGCTTCAGCTTTGACACCGAGCGCAGCCATGACTTACGTGTTTTCCGACAACTATCCCACGACGAGGGCTCCGCTGCAGTGCGTTGACACAAAGTATTTCGATGACGAGAAGTCAATGCCCAACAACGGGATACACAAGCTCGATCACACGCCAGTCTGCCTCTTTGAGGGCATCGTGTACAAGATCAAAGTGCCCGAGAAATCACTGAATGCGGTTAATAGTAATAACAAAGACGATGTGTCAGCGAAAGAGAAGCAGGGCATCGGAAAGAAAATCGTACACAGGAATTGCCAGACGTGGATTGTCGAGTCGGCGGACCAGCTGGTTGAGGAACGAATCTTCAGGACGTTGCTGCGTATCTGCACGCCATCAAACAGTGAGCCACGGGCTTTAGACTTCAAGCCTTAAAGAGTTACAGTTGAGGTCAATATATCTGACTTCGCTGAGTTGACCAATTACAGCTAACCCTAACTGTTCATACTAAGTCCATAACAGTATCTGTGTCACTGTCGAATAGAACAACAGTACAACGGAGTCATATAGCGCAGTCATCTCCTAGTGAAATGGCTGTAATCTAAATCTATCTAAGAAGAAAGAGAAAATAGTATAAAACTACCTAGGTATAAAAGTCGTTTCACGTTCGGGAGCTCGAGACGGCCGTGAGGGGAAAGGGGGTCATAGGTGCTGGTCAATGTCTGCTCACTCCCAAACTATCAGGTTGAACGAGGAGTGACGACGAAAAGGCGGGGAGGAAGATGATAATGACACTAGCACCTTTCATGCATGGGAGATAGAAAGGGAGGAATGTGTAAAGAAGAGAAATAAGAAAGGATACAATGTCCCCTACCCAGAAAATGCCAAAAGAAAAGGACAATTTGAAAAATAAGTGAAATAAAAAAGAAAGAAAGAAAGAAAGAAGGAAAGAAAGAAAGAAAGAAGCGCCGTAACTTATAGAGCACAGACACTTTTTTGTCGTTTCCTGCTGGGTGTCATGGAAGAATAAATGGAGCATTAGCAGTTAGGCAACGGTGAAAAGAAATGACAATAAACCCACAAGTACGAAACAAGGGGTATGAGTTTGGATAACCGATCGCAGATTCATCTGGCCATTGTGTGTACTTTGAGAGAAAAGAAGAAAAAAAACATGTACTGCATAATATCTTCCACGAACGAAAAAGGGTAAAAAAAAACCATTAAAAATTATCGCCCGCTGAATGATAAAATAGATAAAACGACAAAGGAAAAGGCATAAACAAACATGGTTGATGTGAAGCCCCAGAACAGACTCTTCTAGATTGGACTAGATCTGGTAGCTCGACTTGAGCCTTTGCGTTACTTGTGGCGGTAGTTGAGAAAGAAAAGAGTCGAATCCGGGTATTAATTCTTGATAGCCTTTGAGGACCTAAACAATCATGAGTCAGAATCAGATTCAAGTTGGTATATGCTTTCTACATGGTAACATACCTGTTGGAAAGATCGTTGCAGGTCTCGATAGTCATCGTGGCTGAGAGACTTTTGAGGGAATGTTGATATGATAGTGAAATAATCTGCGAGGCATGATTCCATTGCTTGTGGGTTGTGCATGACAACGCGATTAAAGCCAAGGAATGCCGTAGCCTTCTCTCGCGAAAAGTCGACTTTAGACATGGACTTGATAAACTCCTGGGCAAACTGTTGCAAATGCGGTGCGAGCAGTTCGGACTTGCTGATTCCCAAACGACCTAAAGCTACCGCAGCATTTTCATTTACCGAATCAATAACCATCTCGTTGGAGATAATAGTCAACAAGGCTGGGTAAAGTTTCTCGAGCCAAGGCCCCAAATCAGCATGCTCCTCCAAGGCAATCTCTCCAAGAGACCAGCAAGCATTGTTAACCACACTGAAAGCCGCCTCATCCACAATTGACTCGACATCAAGTTGCTTAATGAGAAGAGGCATTATGTTGGGAATGTATGGTTGGAGCTGAGAGAAGATGTGGATAGCACAGTCGCCCAGTAGGGCATAAGATGACTGGCGCACCTCATTGTTGGGGTCATTCATGCAATAGCACAACAGGTCAAAGAATTTCGGCTGCGAGTTTGACACAAGCTGTCCGCTCTCGTCTGAAGGAATTGCCTGTATTATAGCACTCATCAAGTCCAGACTAGTGATGAGGAAGTCTTTATCCGGCTCTTCGAACGAACTGTCTTGTGATGCTTGAACAGACTGCTGGATGTTCTCGTAGACGATTTTAACGCAGCGCTGGAATATGGGAGCAGCGAACTGGGAGAAAACATCGCCGTATGCAGCTGCGATGTAGCCAAGACACTCGAGCAGGGGAAACAACTCTTGCGACTGGTCAGATATCCGATTATAACGGTCGAGCAATGCAGGCATAAGAAGATTGACGAGCTGAGGTTTGGCGAGCTCTCCCATGACACATTCCGCTAATGTCTGCACGCAGTCGTACAATATGTACATATTGCGATCTTTGTATTTATGGAAGCATTCGACGAATTGTCTCAGGATGGGTTCACAGTAAGGAATCAAGCTTGCATCGGACTTTTCTTCAAGACTAGCAAATGCCGATGCAGCAGCCTCCTGGACTTTCTTGTTGTTGTCAAGCATGCGGCGAAGAATGCCCTCCATCATGGGCTCAAAGAACTGAGAGGATTGGTTTGGACCCTCGACATGAGCAGCCCACTCCGAGTATCTGCCCAGGCACCAGCAGGTAATCTTCCTGACCACCGGCTCTGGATCGTTGAGCAAGGAGATGAGGTATGGGACCAATTCAGGCAAATGAGGAGTAACAGCATCCATACATCCATCGGCAACGGCGCCAAGTGTCAGAACAGCTGCTTCACGATTCGGCCACTGCGCATGCCTAAGTGTATCCTTCAGGTAAGGCAAAATCAGGTCAAAAACAGGCGAATGGTATACGTTCGAAAAGATATCCAGCGCAGCAGCGGAGCACTTTCTTAGCGTCCAGGAATCCTCCGGGTCGTCATCATCAAAGTCAGATTCCTCTTCGCTAATCTCCCCATCTTCGCGTTCTTCGGAAATCTCGGCTTGGGCTTTTGAGTCTGTAGTGCCTTCAAGTCGGGATCCTTTCGCTTTTGCAAACCGGGGTCTTAAATCTTCAGCCCGATCCTCTTCTTCTGCGTCGTCGTTCTCGGCAGCCAGCCGCTCCACTTCATCCTCGTCGTAAATCATGCTTCGGAGCAACAGTGGCACGATCTTGTGAAGATGCTGGCTGAGTGGCTGCTGTAATTTGGGCTGCTCTCCCGCTGTGAGCCAAAACTCGGCTGCGTCGAGGGCAAGTTCAGGGTCCTCGTTGGTGTTTTGTTGAATGATAATATAATCCACCAACCCTTCCATATGGGGAATGAGCTGGTCAGGAGCAACTTCTGCCAACTGCCCAAAGGCTTGGCAAACGGTTCGGCGTACGTCGGTCGAAGAATCGTTGGCCAGACGGAAGAGATGTGCCATGAACGTATCGAAATTGGCAATCAGAGCTTGTGGCTTCATCGAAAGGAAGATCTGAATGGTACTGAGGGCAGCTGAGCGAATCATCGCGCTGCCACTCGCTGTAAAATCCAACAGGCGAGGTATAATCACCTCGAGTGGCCGTTGACCTCCGTAGTCCTTGTCCAAAATCTTGCGGTTGTCTTCGCACACCTTGGCGAGAGCAGACATGGCGGCTTCTTGGGTAAATGGCGTTACATCGCCAGCTCCATTTGCAACAAGATTAAGCAGTTCCTGCAGAACTTCCGGCCAAGCCAGCAACCCGCCTTTTTGAATCAGCTCTGTTATAATGCTTCCTGCCGAATTGCGAATCTGCATGTTGGAGTCCCGTAGCCCCAGCAGAGTTGCTCGGCGGACAAAGACTAAGCTCTCTGGCGGGATGCCATTATAAGCTATACGTATCTTTGTTTTGAGATTGAGGGCAGCCGAGAATCGCACAATATTGTATGTGTTCTGGTCCATGGCGACTGGCTGTGGAGGGTTCTCAGTGCAGAATATAAACGTCAAGTAATTCACGAAATCAGGGCTTGCTGTGGCTCTAGTAAGCATCTGATGTAATAGAATTCAGAGATTAGCGTATTTCTTCTTTATTTTTCCCGCATTCTCTCTCTCTCTCTCTCTTTTTCTTCCCTGAACTGGTGTATCTCTTCACTAATGTGTGCATGGCTGAACAATCAATGTACTAAAACATGAAAACACATACCATTTCTGCCTGTTTCTGGAGATTGCGATCATAAGAGTTCAAGGAGTCCCTGAGGTAGCTGGCCAGCTGCCTCAATGGCTCTTCTTGTGGTTGCCATTCCATGCTGGGCGTTGTGGTCCCTTTGCAGAGGGGGAGAAGAACTGAGAGAACTTTTTGTATAACCCCACACGAGATGGATGGATTTCCTCCCAAGCCACGTCCCAATCAAGTGGCCAGATTCGTGAGACTGCAAAAAGCGAAATATCAGAAGAACAAAATCTGACTGCACAGCAGCTGTGCAGAACTCACGTTCGCAACAAAATCAGATGCAGGTGGGAGGAGAGAAATAGCGGGCTCGGCGGGGGAGATTTTTGGGCGTGGGTGGATACCTGAGGCAATCCTGGCACAGCCAAAAGACAGAGGAGAAGGCGACAAATTCAGGCAGGCTTCTTTCTGCTGTGCAGAATCCACAGCTGGCACAGCAGGAGGGAAAAGAAAGAAAAGGAAAATAGATGCAGATAAATAGAAAAGCACACCTAATGCTGGGTGTCACAGCCAAACACAAGAGGGGGAAAAGTGTGCGTGATTCTGCAGTGCAGACTCACTGCTTGCTCTGCTCTCTGATTCGCAGGATGTCCTGACCGCCTTGGGCAACCTTGGAAGCATTCCTGCTATAGTTCACTATAACAGGACAACTATAGGGCTATCTAGGCACCTAGTTATGTTAAAGGCTTATAGTCAGCTTTTACATTTGTTCAGTTGCATGGATATTAAATCGTAGAAGCGACTCTCCAAAAATGGTAATCATAATAATGTGTGAAAAGTCTGAGATAGGCATAACCACGTAGATACCTTAAAACATTCTATTCATAAAGACATAAACATATACAAACATAGATAGCTATAACCATCAATACTCAATTACTTTATATGCTGGGATTTTATCATGCCCACACCAGCTTTTTGACATCATAAACCAGCTGCTCTAGATATCCTGTGCGCTTCTTAGCTTCGGCGAGAGAGATAATTTCTTTATCTTCAATGATTGACTGCGTCTCATCATCCCACCGCTGTACTGCTTTCGTAGCGCGCTCAATCTCCTCGCAAATGGACTGTATGGCCGTCCTCTCGCTGACAACAATTCCAGCGGACATGGCTGTTGTGGCTGAAGTTGAATTTGCCAGCGCCTTGAACGCCATGAATCGCATCGACGTTCTTGTGGTGCCACTGAGCCAGGAATACATATTCCATTCATCACTTTTGTCCGACGTATCCTGCAAATTCTGGCTAAAACTGCTCTGCAGAGTCCTCGTGTTTACGCGCAGAGCGTTGGCATCGCTGTCTTGATAGACTATCACTAGACCGACATTGCGCTGCTCATCGGTTTGCGCGTCGGTTAAAACGGAGGTGATATATGTTCCGTGGTTGATATGTCGAATCGAGCTGAGGTTTATTCGCTCAAAGGACAGGACCTTATCCGTATTCCAATCAAATCGACAGTTATATAGTGCGGCGTCTGTCAGAAGCAGAACCGTCTCTTCAAAAGGGAAAGTGCGTAACGTGTTGGGCTGTCGTGGGCTGAGCATGGCCCAGCCTCCAACAAGTTCCTCCACCTGGTCGTCCACGACCAGTTTACTGCATGTCTCAATGGCATTTTGACGCAGTTTGGCCACCGAGATTCCAGGGTCGATGGTTTTCAGGTTATCTTGAAATTCAGAAAAGACCTGAATCGACACGTTACCGAGTAGGTAGTCAATACAGGCTTGCGAGAAATAATCATTCACGAGGTTATTATAGTACCGGGAGAGCGTCAGACCAAAATCGTTCAAAGCACCACGATAGTTTCTCTTCCTGGTTCGCGTGTAATCTCCTTTCAATGCTGCCGTTGAAGAATACTGTTTTGAAATAGCGTCTCCATTATCAGCCCATAGAGTATTGAACCATTGCGTCGAAGCGTCCCCCAAAAGATCGATTGTAAACCCTTCGCTCTTCAGTGCCTTTTCCAAGGCCCTCTGACCAAACGCGCATTGGGCGACCCCCGTGCGATCCAAACAATCCATACAGTTTGTGCGTACGATACCGGTCTGTTCCTTCAACACTGTATTTCCCAGGAGTATAGACTCCCCAAAATCTTCCAAAGTGCTGTCTAACTTATCAACCAACCGTTTGACATTCTCAAACTTCATTCCGCGACATTCCTGATGAAAGGCAAACCACTCAAAACCTAGGGTGAGAAAATTGGGGCCTTTGTTATCATTGTTGAAGGCTCGTGTATAGGACTCGTACGTTTCGCCAATTTTCGCTTCTACGCCGTGCTTGTCGACAAGAGATACGACTTGTATTTTCCCATATTTAGTCGATAAATCACGGAAATGGCGGGAAAAAGCAAGCTGGTTCGTTTCGTAAGAGTGGTGAAGGATTGGCGTCGGTTTCAAGGAATAAGGTGACTGCGTGAAATATAGCGGTATGGAACCACGAACTTGCAACAGCGAATATACCTTTCGAGATGGCTCCCAGCCTGGGGTTGACAAAATTTGCTCCGTTTCCACGGTATTGGCTGTGTTTCCCTCGTCATCCACGCCGCGACGGAGATATCTCAAGCCGGGACGTTGGATGGAACGCCGAGAAATCAGCGTGATAAGGAAATTCTGCTTGTTCGGTTCTCGCAAAGGCTCCTGTGTCTCTTTGCTTCCTATATCGCGTTTTTCTGCTAATGCAGGATCTGGGAGGTTAGATCTGTCAGGCGCATCATCCTTGTCAGAGCTTTGGGCTTCATCCGTCAGCGATGAAACTGTGAACTCTCGCTGACCGACAAAACCCTGGATCAGTGGCAACACAAATGAATGCGAGCTATTGTCACTATCAATAAAGGGCTTCATCAAATGCTTATTCCAGAAATACTATTTATAGCAAAACAGTCAGCCTAATTTCCAGGATGAGTCAACTACAGAGGACCATCCATACCAGTCGATCTGCATGCACATGTAGCGGCAGCTGGGCGGCTTTCGGATCTTGCGAGGAATAATGCCGAGTGAGATCATAATCGTAAGAAAAGAAAAAATTATCAGATGCAAAAATTAACTTTGTGTATCTCAAAAGCTTAGGCATCAACTCGAGGGCCTTGCTGGGCGTGACCCGAGGTAGAGCATCGGCCTTCCCGGTAGCCTCTTTGACAACGTGCGTAGCCTCGGCTTCAGTTTTGATATCGGAAACTGCAGCAAGGGGCTGGCTTGTCGGACTGCCAACTCTAGTTTCTTCGATGTCGGAAATGTCAGCGTCGGAGTTGGCAAGGGAAGTCTTCGGAGGAGATGCCGCAAGTCCCCATGGCTTCCTGGAAAACCAATTGAGCACAAATCGGCTATTGCGGCCTTTATTGCCAATGACATTTTGTGCAACCCTTGCATGATCCGGTTCCTCTTGATTGTCGAAGTTCACCGCGGGTGAATTCAGTAGACCTTCGTCGCCACTATCGGCGTCGCAGGCTGAGAGGCCCTCGTCCTCGTCGACCGAGCCCTGATCAGACTCGGTTTCTACTTGTCTCAATGTCTTTTGCGCCTGGAGGATAGCACGACTTGCATCGGCTTGTGACGACAGCGGAATGATGGCAACATTCGTTATCGCATATATTGCCTTGCCTAATATCTGGGTAACTTCCTTGCGCTGAGTGATGGATATAAGGTAAGAGTAGGAATCAATATTAAGTATACCTAAATCATAGAAGGGAACCGTTAGATATCGAGATTTGAGACGAGGAAATAAGATAAGCCATCGTACCCACGAGTCCATACGCTTCCAGACTTGGAGTCAGTCTCGCTGTCGATTCCGGACGGGCTTGCGAAAGCGACGTGATTTTGCGCGTCTTGTAATCGATCTGGAGAGAGGACGAGTTTCCATTGCTCGAGCTGTTCCGTTGTGCGCCGCCATTTGGCTGTAGAATGAGGCCGTCGACTGCTGCGAAAATGACTAGCTTTCTCACCAAGCTGGGCATCTTGCGCCAACCCCGCGCGTTGTCTGATAAACAGAAACCCTAACCCCTTCCCACCGGAAGCGGAGTCGCGTTGCGTCGCGAAGACTTTGGAAAAATGCAAGGCGTTTGTTCTCGAGAGGGTTATGTAGGATCTCATTTGGCTTTCGATGGTGGAGCCGTGGTGGGATGAATGGATCCGCCGATGTCGTCAGCCGAGCCTCTCATAAAGATCCTGAGTAACTGTATAACTACAACGTTTGGTTATCTCAGCAGGCTGCAAATAATGTTATACGTCAAATATACTACTCTAAAAGCTAGTTACTAGAAGTTCAGAATACTCCAAATATCATTAAGCTCCTCCCCATTTACAACTTCATTTTTGCAAGAAGAGGCCAGTTTATCAGGCATAGGAAAACATAGGAACAGAGAAGAAATTGCTGGCAGTGACCAAAAACCCAGCCATACACCGCTTGAAACTTGACTTTGCCATCGTTCTCGCCTCATTCTGTATTACTCAATCGTAAATCCATCGGCAGTACTTCTTACTTCCTTTGCAAACTGGACATCTTGTTCCATCTCGAGCAAAGAAACACTGGACACATCTACCTCAACGAAAGGAGAAGTCTTAGAGAAGCGAACGTTCATTGGGAAAAATTCGTTCTCATCCACGTCGTCCTCAACCACTTCAAACTCGAAACTGCCCGAGGCGTTGCTTGTATCGATGGAGCCAATGTTCCACTCTAGACTGTCTCCAGCCACTTCGTAAACCGCATCGAAGCTGGTCACTGATGGCTCTGTCGCACCGTACGGGATTGTCACAGAGACGTCACGCAAGTTATCTGTACCGCTAAGTTCATATTCGACGGTTACTGTCGTCGAGTCCGAGCCTTTGTTAACCCACACGGTGAATGTGATGGGAAGAGCATCAGCATGCTCCGAGCCAGAACTGGCGACACGCCATCGGAGCACACCAATGGAGTTGTTGGCTGGAAATCGTTTAGATGTGTCCTTTAGCTGAATGATGTTTGAATTGGTGAATAAAGCCTTGTCGACATTTGGGTGGGTGCGGAATTGTGCGCCATGGCTGGAACTAGTAAGAACGTCCATTTTAATTTTGGTGAAAGCGGGATCCGAGATTCGGAGCTGAAGATCGCCTTTGACCTCGAATGATTTGAGGGCCCCCTCTCGAGTTAACTTGGCCGAAATTGTCTCCGCGACTGTGACTTGCACAGCTGCTCGGTCAGAGGATAGAGAAGTTCGGGGCTCTGTGGATGGTGCGACTGGCGTGGCTACTTGTGGAGAGACCAGAGGAGCTGACTCTTCGGCCTCGGGACCAAGATCCTCGCGAACTTTCTCATAGATGTCCGTTGTCTTCGATTTCTTCCCAAGTTGCATACCCTTACCACGGGTAGGAATAGGCCTGCCATCACTTAGTATTGTGTATAAAATGAGCGAAATAATCACGGCATGACATACTTGGCAAATGTCTTATTCTTCTCGGCTTCGTAAGAGTCAAATGTTTCCGTAACAACGGGGCGAGCGGGTGGCGTATAAACAGGATATGAGGGAGGCCGAGGAGTCACACCACGGCCACTGCGAGCAGCCTCCTTCCGCTGGAGCTCCAATTGTTTCGCCTTTCGCTTTCGTTCCTCGGTGGCTTCAAGCTCTTTATTCTATAATTCGTTGTTAGCAGTGGTCTTGAATCAAGACGTGTGTATGGTTGCATACCCGTTCAATGATTTCCTGGATTCGTTCTTCGTGGCTTTCCATTTCAAGAAACGTCTTGATCTGGCTGAGTGAGAGGTTCTCCCTATATCCCAGAGTGACCAGTTCATCGAAAGCACTCAGCAGCTCGAATGCATTTCGCAGAATTTCGCGCTCATCTAGACTCTTGCAGATGCTGGTTGTGACTTGAGCAAACAAGTGAAGACTGTCAATGTCTTGTAAGATATTGGATTGGCGGTTTGTGATCAGGACGATATATAGCTCGTCCAGGGGTTGGTAAACGAAGCGCACATTGTCCTGCTCAACTGTGGTATGCTGTGTCCCAGAGTCTGCGAGTTTCGGAAAGGATGCGAGAAGGGCTTCGATGCGCGATCGTGCGATCTCTCTGAATTGACGAGAAAGTACTGCCTTTCCCCCGCGAGTGCAGATCGAGGCTGCTAGAACAACCTGTGTGTGGAACATTAGAAGCTACCACTGCCGAACACAATGTTGTTCTGGGAACTAACCATGATTGCTCTGAAGATAACGCTGACAATTCCAAGGGATTGAACGTCACTGAAAAACAGAGAGCGACGTGAATTGACGAAGGTGAGCGCAGACAGACTGTAAACCGTTCTACGGTGTAGTTGTAACTGCCATCATCCATCCCGCTTTGTTGTTCACTACGGCGGGCCACCGCCACACCTCCTGATTGGCCCGCCGCTTGGCGCTAACGACTTCGCTTACCTTTCAGAGTCGACGCCGACGTTGACGCCCGCAACGGCAACCTCCCCCTTCCTCTTCTTTTCTCCAAAGGCCATCTGATTGTCACCCATGAGGAGCCACAGCACATCCGTATCGTGAGTTGACTGGCCGTGGGTACTGTTTGTGATATTATCGCCATCACAGTCTCGAGATCAGTCCATCTGGCTGTCTTTTAGCGGCTAGGGACGCGTCGTTTCCCGGTAGCCTTACATTTGATCCAACGTGAAACCCAACTGCCACCTGAACCTACCGTATCTTTTGTTTTCCTCGGTCATGAATGCAGCAACGTCACTGACTCCTTCGATCATGGAAGATCCTTTCACTGATACCATGGACATGGCATCTCCGTATCAGGGTCACGTGGATGACTTCGAGATCGACATTGATATTATGGAGGACCAGCCTACGATGGCCGACAACGACTTTGATGTTCGGGATGCATCTCCCGCAGGAGATTTACCCCACGATGCTGATATGATGGAGGACGTGCCTGAGGTGACGGTGACTGAGGAATCTCATTACAACGACGACAGCAATATGCAATATGCCGCCACCTTCTATCCTAATCAGGAACCATATGAGTCCGAGATGGTCGATGAGGAATATGTCAATAACAATTCAGTTGCTCCATCCGAACAAGATCACTTGACCATTGTTTTTGAAGAACGCCCCGTTGTTGAGGAGATAACTGAATCTGTGCAGATTCCACCAACACACGAAGAAGAAAGACCAGATCAACAATATAACAATGCCGAAAAAGATAAAGAAGAGGGACCGACTGTAACCCAGGAAAACTTTGAGCAGCAAAAAACCGAACAAGAATCAATTGCGTTAGAGGAGGATGCATCGAATCATGTTACGGAACGGCAGGTCGAAGATGTGACAGAGCCTGCCCCCGAGCATCCCATTGATAATGTCGATCTTGCCGAACAAACTACCAACCCTGAATCTAATGCAAACAGCATTGAAGAACCAAGCGAATTACTTTCCGCAGAAGAGGCGCACGACACCGAGAATGGCGTATCAACTGATTTGTCTAACACAGTCGATCCGCATGAGGAAGTCGAAAATGAGCGCGATACCGTCGTCAAGCCACGTGTGCCTTACATACACCCAGTAAAAGTAATTTATCAAGAAAGCGAAATTTCCATGTTCCCACCTCGCGACGGAGACACATCGGAAACTTATTTTCTTGCCAACGAAGGTTTGGCACATGAGAGTATTCACAGTCTTTTGAAAGAATGCCGCACGATCCTTGGCGATCATGCCTCCCCTGAAGACTCGTTGGTTTTCAATGTTGACTCGCTAGGCATCGAATTAAGCGAGGTAAGTAGAGCAATCATTTTTTTCTTGTTTTACTGGACTAACCATGTTTCAGGATAATATTCATGCGGACAAGATCACTTTATCCAAAATTGTCGATATATATCTTCACCTATGCCGTAACAGCGGTGTCGAACAGCCTGAGCCGTTATACCTAACGCTCAATACGAGAACCAATCTGTCGGCAGAGGTAGCTGCTTTGCTGAATGCGGCACACGAAGGCAAAGGTATCTCGGACATACAAACCTGGGAAGAGGAATATGAACATCAGGAAGACGAAGATACAGAAGTTCCGAACGATGCTTCCTTGGCCGAGGGGGACGAACATGAACAAACCGAGCTGGAGCCAAAGGAACTGCCAACTGAAGGGCAAGTCAGGGAAGGGGCTGATGATCATCAATATGAAGACGAGCTTAGTGATGAGGAAGAGGCTAGCGCAGAACATGGTGAAGTAGAGGTTCATGAAAATGAGGTGGCAAACCAAAAGAACGTCGCGCCGACCGAACTAGAACAACACCTTGAAAATGACAAGGCCCACTCTGCAAATGATGAACTCGGTGAATCTGCAAGCACTAATGCAGTTTCAGAAGCGCAGTATGATTTTGATGAAACTAACTCTACTGGTACATTAACTCAAAACCCGGAAGCTCACCCCGAAGATCAGCCTCAGGAGGGATTATCTACAAATATCACACAAGATCAAGCTGAAGCAGTCGACGAAGGCGTCACAGGCGGTGAAGATGAGAATTATCTAGCAAATGAGCAAGCTTTTGAGAGTTATCCTCACAATGGGCCAGAGATTCACGAAGAATATGCCACAGATGAATACGTGACCGAAGATAAGGACATTAAAGCAGCGCTAACAGGTACATCAGAAGCCGCCACTGCTGATGATGTCGATTACCTTGAGACACATCCTCATGAAGACAAGAAGGAACCCGTCGATCAAGAAGCTTTAGTAAATGATGATGATGATGATGCAGAAGGCGAACAAAATGAAGATGAACAAGAAGCATACGAAGACAACCCCGATGAGCAGAATCATGATGAAGCCTTTGATGTCGGAGATGATACCGGTGAACAGTTCACAGCGGGGAACGCAGAAATCGAGGAACCTTCAGTGCCGGAACATGGACAGACGGATGAATCCTATGTGGCTGATCCACTAGACCAGGCATCCAGTGACACAGTATCTGCCTCGAATGAGCCAGTAGATAAGAATGATCACCAGTTAGAAGAATTGCAGACCGCTACGAATGCAGGAGTGCCCGAGGTTTCGCATGAAGATTTCGAGCACATCCCAGACCTTCCGGAGTTATCGGATGATGATGACCTTATCAGCTTGGGAGAAGATTTCTTTGGTAATTCCGAGGAAGTTGAGGGCGATAAGGGTCTGGATGCGCTTCCCACCGGAGAGAACAAGGATTCTTCGATTAATTTAGTGGCCGCCAGTGCCTACGACTTGAAGCGTCAAGATAGCATTTCTGGAAAACGACCTCGTGATGTCGAAGAGGAGGATTTTGGTTTGGATGGAACTCCTAGCCCCGATACCAAGCGGACTCGCTCTTCCTGATGACACGGCTTCTATCACGTTCTCACCCGATGTCGAATTGCGCACAGATCTCGCTATAATGCATCTACTGTCATTCTTATCAAGCTCGACTAGCTTGGGCTGAGTTGGAAGCTGTACAAAATTCGAGGATAGTATTATGCCTGCCATTACTAACGGTGGAATATTCGAGAGGTAGGGAAACTTCGTCAGATGAGCTACTACCATACTTTCTAGGTACGTGAAATTCGCCCTTTTCCCCAGCGTTGTTTCGGCTTTTTTTTTTCTTTTCGCCGCCGGTTCTCTGGCTTCTGGGACGTTGTTGGCCCTGTCCAAGACGACCGACACCCTTTCTCCCCCTTTCCCTTCTCTCTACGCCAAAAATTGCTTTGTTTTCTCTCGACGCATGATACCTTTTCTTCCCATCAAGGGAATACTATACTCTAGGGATTCATTGGACGGTGGCGCACGGGTCTGTTTACTTTTATCTATGTCGCGGAGTCCGGAGATTGGAGGGTGCTTATGTTCGCTGTTTCAACATTCAACGCGTGGTGGAATTCGATGTCGAAGATTGCGCAGCTTATCGTCTATTATTGATCGAGTAGTCTGAGATAGCTAGGGCTAGACTATGTAACTGTCGCCGTGGACAAAGTTCAGTCTGTCGTAAAGAGCAGTATGCAAATAAATCCCAAAATAGTCCGTCCCTGGTGGAGCGCAGGGCTGTGCAGCGTGCGGCTAGCCCCTGAGCCGATGACGGCAGCTGGCGGAATGTGCCACCTTGGCCGTTTTCAACCTTCCCGCCAAGCAGCAGCACAACACTTCAGACTTTACTTATCTCGAATCGATAATACAACAACTATCAATAGCCCATTGTCGCTTCCTTCTCGTCTGGTATCGTTCTCTGTCTGCCTGCGTCTCCTCTTCCGGCAGATCATCATCGCATCGGCCAATCCTGCCGTGACTCCGCCCGTCAGTCACTCGTTTGAAACACGCGTCCATTTGGGGACGAACTCGTCGCACACCCCACCGCCACTTCTCCTTCTTGCATCCCTCACCCATCCTCATCTCTCACATCTTGCTCTTCTTTTTTTCTTTTTCGTTTCGCTCGTTGTCCCCTGTCTCCCGTCCATCCTCTCGAGATCGCACTGTTTGGCGGGACGTGGCTGGTTCATTTCCGCACAGTGCATGACTTGCCGTCTCTCCGCTTCCGATCTTTGCTCGGCCTCCAATTAGTTCCAACTCCGACCTTTTCTGTCGCCTCGTCCACTCGCGACAATACAATCAATTCATTGCTGCAGACGCATGTCTCAGGGACCATAAACTACCACCGCTGATATTCACCTCGGTACGTTTGTGTTGCGTGGGAGTAGCAGCGCTTAGCGTTGCTTTGTTTTGCATTAGACTGGGCGCATTCGATACCCTGGGGCAACAAGCTCCTCGACCCATACAAGAGAAAGAAAACATGGTTTCGGACAAGTATGTAACAACGCGAAACAAAAAAGCAAACTGCCTTGTGCTCGAGCATGATCTCTAATTCAATGTCTGGTTTAGGTATATCGGGCTAGCGTTAGCCATTCTCTCGACATTAGCCATAGGTTAGTCAATTCTTCATACAACTTATCTAACTCGCTTTTTTCGAGTTTATACTGACGCTCTTGTTTTCAGGGACGAGTTTTGTGATTACTAAAAAGGTGAGACTTTTCCCCTCGCTTTTCGTTATGTCTCGCGTCGCCAATTCGCATCTCCATCTCTCAATCGACTGTCAGCTAACTCCACGAGCCAGGGCTTATTGCACGCTTCCGAGACTCATGGATTCGAAGGAGAGGGATTCTCATATCTAAAAAGTCCTATCTGGTGGGGAGGAATAGCTACACGTATGTCTGGAGAATCTATCGGGGGTTAGAAACGAAGCTAATCCATGTGTACAGTGGCCATCGGAGAAATCGCGAATTTTGCCGCGTATGCCTTCGCGCCGGCAATCTTGGTAACGCCATTAGGCGCTCTTAGCGTTTTGATCGGGTGAGTCGTCATTCGCGGTAGCATCTCTTACCTGTGGTCTGTCTTCTAACTTTGAACAGTGCTGTGCTCGGCTCTTACTTCCTGAAAGAACGACTGGGAACGCTAGGAAAACTTGGCTGCGCCATGTGTCTCCTCGGATCGGTTGTAATTGTTCTTCACGCGCCTCCAGACCAGCCTGTCGAAACGATTGATGAAATTCTCAACTACGCTTTGAGCATAGGTATTTGTTACATTAGCCGATGCTGACTAGTGCCACCTGCTAATCATACTACTTACTGCAAAGGCTTCTTACTCTACTGCGCAGCTGTCGCAATTTTCTCCACTGTCATGATTTACCGTGTTGCGCCGGCTCATGGAAAGAAAAACCCTCTTATTTACATCTCAATCTGCTCCACGGTCGGCTCCGTCTCTGTGATGTCCATCAAAGCTTTTGGAATCGCGGTTAAGCTGACCCTCGGGGGCAACAATCAATTCACACACGCTTCGACTTACGTATTCGCGATTGTCACCAGTTTCTGTATTCTGACACAAATGAACTACTTTAACAAGGCGCTGTCCGAATTTTCCACGAATATGTAAGTTAAAAGAAAACCCCCACGATTGAGTTTCTAGCTCCTTGGCTTACTTAGCTCTATTTAGCGTCAATCCTCTATATTACGTTACCTTCACCACAGCTACACTGTGCGCGTCTTTTATCCTTTTTAAGGGTTTCAATACTACCGACGCCGTCAATACCATTTCATTACTATGCGGATTCCTCGTCATCTTCTCCGGTGTCTATCTCCTTAACCTCTCTCGACTTGATTCGCATCAGCATTCAATGCTAGCATCAAAGGATGAGGATGAGGACGGTGTGCCCACCGATGGAATCGCAAGCTTCTCAACTAGGCGATCGATGCAGGCGCGGAGAAGCACAGATCCTCACCGGCGAAGCTCCTCCTATTCGAGCGTCGCGTTCTTGAACGGGAATGCCGATAGAGAAGGACTTATGCGGTCGTACGATGCCGAAAATGGCGTTATTGGCTTAACAGAGCTTCGGGAGGACAATGACGCAGGCGATGGCGAGCCTGGCCCTACGCAGAAATCAGATGTCGAGGCCAACGCAGCCTTCCATTCCAAGTTTGACGAGCGATGAAACTTCAAGTGTCGCGAGTGACTTGTTCATTCATTCAATTGACATTCTACCACGCGTACATGATCTTACTCAACGACCCTTCAACCACCTACCACATGGCTTACGGACCCTTTTCCTTTGAATTAACACCCCCAATCTCTTTGCTCTCTTTGTCTGACCTTGAAATTCGCGATATGGCCCACGCGCCCAAGGAGCGTGCAGATCTGCAGATTGATCAGGCATCAATCATTTCAACAACTCTAACTAGAAGAACAGCAGCAGGACAAAATAAGCAAGACAAAATCGTTGCATCTGGTCATTGAAGTCAAGTATGGCCAGAGCATGGTTCTTTCTTTGTTTCTCCCTTCCCCCTGTCCCACCACCCAGGCGAATGAAGGTTCGGCTTGGGCTGATGTTGTATATAGCAATCATCACTACTTGTATTTTAGAGATATTTTCGATAGTGACATGGTTTTGTTCTTGTTTTTAGTTTTCTTTTTCTTTCCTTCTGCGCCTAAGATATTGGGTGAAACCGGTTATTGTATGTACCTATATGTCGGAATGTTTATGCTTGTCTTTGCTTTGCTCTGCTCTGCCATTCATCGTATCCTCGACTGGGCTTTTTATTTAGTTGGTATGCCTCTGCATTTAATGCCAGCATAGTGCTTTCGATATCATAGCCTCATGAAGGGATGGCCCTTGTTTGCTTCCTTCGTCGAATTCTTGCTTGTTAACTCTGGAACGCTCTTGGCTAGTATATCAGTGATATTCTTTCTATCTTCATACAGAAGAGTGTTAAGACCACATGGCATACTGGAGCTGACCAATAGAAGGTCAATACTCATGTTGGTTGGGATTCTCTTATTTCTCTTCTTCATCAATCTTTCTATCGCAACTTTCCCCTTCCACAGGATACGTTCAAGTTCACAAGACGCTCTACAAAACACTTGCTGTGCAACCATCCGTTCTTGCAAACATGACCAACAACGGCTCAGTTCTCATCACCGGCTGCAGCGACGACGGCATCGGTTACGGTCTAGCAGTTACCTTCCAGCGGCGTGGATACCATGTCTTTGCCACTGCTCGCAATGCCGATAAGATGTCCAAATTGCAGGGTCTTGACAATGTGACTCTGCTCACCCTCGACGTCACCAATCAAGCCCAGATAGCTGCCGCAGTACAAGCTGTTCGCCAGCGCACAAACGGCACACTGGATTATCTGATCAATAACGCCGGCCGCAACCATTTCATGCCTATTCTTGATGAGAATCTAGATGTCGCAAGGGACATATTCGAAATTAATGTCTGGGGCCCGGTGGCTGTGACCCAGGCTTTTGCGCCGATGCTGAGACAGGCTAAAGGGACGGTGGTCTTTATTTCTTCAATCTCGGGCTATATTAATGTTCCATATATGGGTGAGTCATAGATAAGTTTACCAAGTTTTTTAAAGAAGCTGACCGGGATTCCTAGGCACGTACGCCGCATCTAAACGCTCTCTTGAACTCATCGCGGAGACTCTCCGTCTTGAATTGGCACCATTTGATGTCAAGGTTCTCTCTGTCGTTACAGGCGCGGTTCGAACGATGGGACAGACATATTTTGGAGATTTCAAGCTCCCGGAAGATTCTTTATACAAGTCTATTGAAGATGCTGTTGCTGTTAGGGCTCGTGGTCAGGATGGGAAAGAAAGAATGAATTTAATGGTGTATTCGAATGAGGTGGTATCCAGAATTGTTCAAGGTGAGACAGGCAAGTTTTGGTTCGGAGAACGTGCCGAGTCAATCAAATATGCAGTCAGTCATGTTGAGAGTTCGGTCATGGTAAGCTTATATCTACTTGTTACTGGTGCTTGATCGGCTGACTTCGAGGTCTCTCAACAGGATGGCGCTTTTATCCAGGATAGCTCTCTTGACAAGCTCAAGTAGTATTGACAGTATACTTCGTTCCTACCTAGACACGAATTTGTAGGTGGTGCGATATTTCTCATCGCCGACATGACACAATAAATCCTGCAAGCTTGAAATACTAGTTTTGATCAAGATGTCAACAAGTAATGCGCTCTGGAAGGTTCGATTGGCTCTTGCAATTTGCATATGCTGACTTGACTCGGCTCTCGCTTCCCATGTCTGTCCGTCAATCACTCTAAGTAGTGAGATGGCTTAATGAGCACTCTAAGGAACAGACATCTAAGATTGACTGAAGGACGAAGGGGAATATTTTGTACCATAACTGACAGGCCATTGAATGGTTGAGATCTCCCTTACCAAGTCCATGCATCCAGAAAATCAGTAGACAAAGATTCAAGCTCCTGAACGGACATTGCAGGCAGAGTGAGTGCATCCCAAGATTCCCTCATAGCTCGAAGCTTCGTTGCCTTTATGGTAAAGTAGTCATTGCCACCATGAGAGTCATCAGACTCAATGCCGACTGTCTCTCGTACATGTCTATATTTCTTCTCGAGCTGCTCAAGGAAAAAGGACACATCAATCGTCGCATGGACTATGTCTCGATCCCACCCCAAGTACTCACACATCGACAATCGGCATAATCGCGTAAAGCAGGTAGTCATCGCAGCTAAAACCAGTGATGAAAACCCCGGATACCCATGGGATGGGATACTAAGTAATGTTTCGCAGAAGGATTTGATGGCTTGGAGGCAGGCGAACAGGCATTCAAAGCGCAGAGTTGGTTGCTCAACAAAGATTCTAGAAGATTGCGAAAATCCGATTTCGTGAATGCTCGCTTCCGTATAATACTGCTCCAAAAGCAGAATCTCTACAGAAAAGGTTTAGGATAGGTATCTCCGGGATGGGTTCCACATAACGTAAAAGAGAAACGTGGAAGCGGAGGTCTGTACATACTGTTCTGTGGTAGATTGCTGGGAATAGAAGTCACAGATTCATGCAGCTCTGATCTTAATGACTTGACGTAGAAAGTGGCCGGTATGCCCTCCGACGGGCCCTCGCCAAGGCGTGAATAGTCAACCACCTTGTCAGACACCTGACGCAGTTTGACTATCTGAACGAGTGTCTCGTCAGATTCATTTTCTTTTGTGTCCTGCAATACTCGAAGACAATCATCGAAGTAACTTGTCCAGCGGAGACTCTGGCCCTTCCGTAAAGATGAAGATCTATCAAAGTCAGCACACAGACGCGACTAACCATATATTTTTGGCCGCACATACACCGTACTAAGTAAGTAACAGCCAAGTAAGGCCCTCCGTTCTTCCATGGTTGGGTATCTTGAAGATTGCGCAGTAATATTAGTTGCTCCTTTTACGGAGTCATGAAGTACAAATCCCATATCCGTGGAAGGTGCTTTGTCCAGGTCCAGGTCATAAACGGTAGATATGGCAAGCTGTACTAGACTGGAGAACACTGGCTTACTAACGCCAATGCGTCGATCCCTAAGCAGTCAAAATGAGCACTGATTTTATTGCTTTGACTGTTCGGTTTAGTAAAAGAAATAGGAGTCTCGTACCATGTAACAAGAACAAGGATTCCCAGGAGTAGATCCATGTTCCTAATAGCCTCAACATATGCCACCTTCCCAAACAACTCTCTGGCTTTTCTGGACAGAGCAATCTGCTGGTTTGAGGAATTCGAAGCGACTGTCATTATGCAGAGCCAGAGGATGGGCCTCTCTTGCCGAAGACTATAAGCTGTTACTGACGGCGGTATCACTAGAAACGGAAGATTTTTGATGAAATTCTCCCGGAAATTGAGTAAATACAACTCCGCAGTTTCTGCGCTGGGTTCTGGAGATGTATCAATGCCAGATAACAAACCCACCGGCGCCGAGGCGGGATTAGAAGAGGACGACAATGTGAGCGAAGGGCGAGAGATGTTATTTTCGATAGTTGGATTGAAAGCTGGCTCCTCATGGTTGATACTCCTGGGGACATTTGATGAGACTGCGTTGCCAGGACGTAATAAAGCAGAGTCCCGAGGTACTACTGTGTTAACAGACGAGGTGTTGCTGTTGGCCGATGCTAAACCACTTTCCGCGGTCGACCTGAGGAAATCAACAAGTCCATCTATCTTCTCTTCCAGTCTTTCGACTTTATTCGGGGCATGTCTGGTCACAACCTTGCGCTTTCGCGCAGCAGGCTGCGGTTGACAGTCTTTTCTCATCCGACGACATCTAGCATGGCGTCGTTAACAGCAATATTAGCCATGTCGACGCGCGCAAGGCCCGCAGGATTTATTTACATACCTTTCGCACTTTGTTTCTGCCTCCGAAACGAAAGAGCATCTTGTCTTCGCGCGGACGCAATTAGCACAAGCCCGCGACCTATCCGACGGAGACCTTGCTATAGTGGCCTGGGTGCGCACATCTGTTGTGGTTGTCATTGTCGAAGTTGTCTCCTTAGTATTAATAGCAAGCGGAATCTCCATCAGCCAAAGAGAGATGGCCAACACCTCTAGCCAATCAGAGTGCTGCGCATTGTTAGTCATTTATACTAGCAACGCCATTCCATCTAGAACCGTCTTCTAAATTACTACTACTCGACTTCAGGGCATCGAGTTACTGCAACTACCTAAACTATCGTCGCCTTCTCCATTCACTTACCTAGCCGATTCATTCAAACCTAAAGCACACAGCATATTCTATTTTAAGTGAGACGCTTCCTCCATGTATCGTCGAGTCAATATGGTTCTACTGAATCTGAGCTCTGCTCTCAAGCCTCCTCATTCACGTTGTCACACATCACCAAGAGCCGTGTCATTGCTACGGTTAATCTATACACCCGAGCCTGAATTTTAGCCCTTTGATTTCCGTTTGAATTTCATGAATGGATGGACTTGACTCATCTTAGCTGAGGAATTTGCTTATGATATTATGCATATCGGTTTCAACTTGCCGCTGAAGCTTCAATCGATGAACTGGCAATTAACAACAGACGACGTCAATGCGATGGCTTGATAGTTTGTGATTCACATTCGGAGGCAACGGCAACATAGCGAGCGCATCGTATGGCTTGAACTCTAAGTCAAGCCTTATTCCATGGTACTGATAGATGCCCAGAGGGACGCATTGTTAGCATGCACAAATCCTGAAATGCCCAACGTGGCAAGCGCCTACCCACATCAAGAAGCATACTAGAGCACCTATGCAAGCAGATATATCAGCCAATTTTTCAGGTATACATCAAGCGGAAGAAGCTCGATGGAGGGATGGAGGGATCTTGGGGACATTCACAATTACCGTGTGCAGTACGCTAGTCTAAACATTCTGCTTTGGGGGTGTCATTAATCAGGTTAACCGAGAAGTGAGTTAAACACTATCTAAAAACATTCTCAGAACTCTGTTACCCCATGACCATACATATTACGATTATAAATCAACTTGATGAAACAAGGCTGTCTCTAAGCAAAACCTCTTGGTCACCTGTGGATCCCTCCGAAGCTTCGATGGTATACATTGAACAATGAAACATGGGCTAGAATGTTGATTGATGCCTCCAAAAGTTCCCTATTTCAATCCTGCAAAATGAAAGATGGACGACAGAGATGGCCGGGGCTATTCATACCATAGGCAGTCTGGTAGCATTGCCACAGAATTTGCCTCGTTGAATTCATGCAACAGAAAGACTCGGACGGACATGTCCTCCGAATCATATACTCAGATGGTTGGGGTCTAGCCCAATAATTGACTTCAGATACAAGGTTAGGATTGGCAGCTTGGTCTTACATTACTCAGCATTGCTTCCAGATCTTAGAAGGTCTTTGGTCGCAGTTGAATTCCGGTCATTCGCCTCCTGGCATGTGTTCTCTGGGAGGTGTATTGAGTACTCGCATTATCAGACGTTTGATATATTCAGTATATGGAGCTTATTTACTTTCTTATGACGCGGCTTTCAGTTGTTTGAGTTTAAGACGAAATGAATATCTATGTTTGAAGACCGCCCCTGTTCATCCAAATTTAAGACTTGGAATTGATCTGTATATCAGTCCACATTCCAGGTCTATTGTGAAAACTATACAGGGATTGTACTCACTCTTGGCTACAAATTACACCATACAAAATTCGAAAGGTGGCCAGATTGCCATCAACTCGTCTTGTGTCTTAGTGGCTGCCGAAGTGGAATCAATGACTATCGATGCTTGCCTACAGCAGCCTTCAATTCTTACCTTATAACAAGGCTTTTCGCCCAATTAGGACTTTGCCTGACTGTGAGATGGATGGATTGGGATTCCAAAGATGGCAAATGCAACCGAATTGCTACACGCTTCCGTACCAGGAATCTGACTTGTGCAGTCCCCCCTCAGCTACAGTATGTTTGTTCAACTAACCTCCTTGCTGTTAAAGAATTGATCTTTCATTATTTAGCTAAGCACTCAATCCAAACAGGACAATCGCCACTCCCCCCAGAAAGAGACAGAAGTCCGTAATACAAAGAAGATGGCCATTCCAAGACTTCCCGAGGGCACAGAAGCATCTCTCAGTTCTCTAGGACGTTTCCACCGTCGTCATGTCCGGCGAGCTTGTGAATCATGCCGTCAAAGAAAAACTAAATGCACGGGTGATAAGTCCGGATGTCGAAACTGCCGAGAGGCAGGCATTATATGCTGCTACACTGATGGAAAGAGGGAAAAATCCAAAAGGTTTGTCTGTTGTAAGCATTGACAAACAAATTCATTAACTTGCTTCAAGGCAACTCGCTACTCTATCTGCAAAAGTACAAACTTACGAGGAAGTAATCCGAAAAATGAGTTTGCGCTTCGGAGTGTCTGACGAACAGCTGATGAGCAATGCCATGACTTCAGTAAGTCTACCTGCGAGTGTAACTACATATCTCACCTAATGGAGTGGCCACAGGACTCAAAACAGGCTGCTCTTGGTGATGAGTCTGATACAGCATCGGTCTTGACAAAAGCTCGCTCAATTTTTGCCGGCGATGGTTCGCAGTGTAGATCACGGTCACCATCAGCTGGAACATTTTCCGGAACCGACCGGGTAGAGGAGGATTTCAATAGGGACAGTACATCAAGGGCGACTGGTTATATTGGGAAAAGCTCTGAGATGTGCTGGCTGCAAAATTTGCGCCAGAAAGTCAACGGCGATATCCCGGAGACGGGGCAGTCATCTTCTCCTCCAACACCTCCTGGTAACGACGACGATGGCCTCATTGCCTCAATTAATTTTTATGCCGATAACAAAGACTTTGACTTCGCCGAAGACGTACAAGCATACGCAATACCTTCTAATAAAAGTGCAGAAACGCTTCTTAGAGCTTATTTCAAATCGGTCCATCCCTCGTTCCCAATTATCGGAATGTCGACATTCATATCTCAGTATCAGATGTTCTTTAGTCAGCCAGGAGTCAAACCAGGAAATAAGTGGCTCGCTATTTTGAACCTCATTTTTGCCACCGCTGCAGTGTATGCACGACTTGTGGTAGCCGATTGGAAAATGGAATTAGAACATCATACCGTCTACTTTAAAAGAGCGCGAGTGCTGAGCATGCGAGATACGCTTTTCGATCATCCCGATTTGCAGCAGCTGCAGATTGAAGGCCTGACATCCTTTTATCTTCTAGCTACAGGGCAAATCAACCGGTAGGCAAGAAAACCCCCCTTTTCTTTTTGAAATGATCTAGAATCGTTTCAAAATTAATGATGCTGACGGGTTGGTTTTTCAGATCCTGGAAAGTTTCTGGGAGTGCAATTCGAGGAGCAATATCTCTTGGGCTTCACCTACGAAATGTGGGAATCTCGACTTCAGATGCGTCTAAAGAAATTCGATATCGTGTCTGGTGGGCTCTATATACCTTGGATCACATGTTGAATGTGATTACAGGTCGGCCATCCTGCATTGTTGACGGTGCTTGCACAACACCTGTTCCGATTCCTTTCGATGAGAGTGACTTTCAGAAGACAGAGGCCGCTCAGATGCTAGGCAATCATTCTAGGAAGGGTTCCTGGATTCATGAATGGAATCCTTCTTCCTCCACTCTACCTAGACCCTCTCAAGCCGGTGATAACAAAACAGAACCTGTTGTTATCAAATCTGAAACAGGGAATTCTGATTGGCTCAAGTCTCTGCCACCGAGCATGTCATTGTACTTCTTTCATTTGGCATCTCTGGCATCGATCTCAAAAAGGGCAAATATGAAACTTTACAGTAGTGAAGCGATGCAGGCGCCCTGGGCAAGCCTCGAATTTACTATCCAGAGCTTGACATTGGAGATCAACGCATGGCTAGCGACTCTTCCGAAATCCTATGATTTCAGTTTGTTACCTGATTCGCCTAACCTCCTGGCTCAAAAGACCGGGCTAGCCTTTGCATACTACAGTACCAAGATTTCAGTCAGCCGGCCCTGTCTCTGCCAACTCGAGAAGGATTGTCAGACCGAAGGGATCTATGAATTTTGCAGCAAAACGGCAGCACAATGTGTCGATGCCGCCACTCAGATGATCAACATACTGCCTGGGACAATAGAAGCCCAAGCTTTATATAAGGTATCGCCATGGTGGTGTACACTTCATTATATCATGCAAGCTACTACGGTGCTTCTCCTGGAATTATCGTTTCGGGCTGAACATGTTCCCGAGAGGGCCGTTGAAGTGTCACAAGCATTGAAAAAGGCAGTCAAATGGCTTTTCGAGCTTTCTCATTCCAGCGATTCGGCACATCGAGCATGGAAGCTGTGTGATAGTTGTCTTCGCATTCTTGCGCAACCATTGAATCTGGATATCAGTGACCTTCCGGACGAAGAGCTAATGATTGATCCTTCGGACAGTTTTGCTTCTGTTTTAGAAAGCTCCTTGTTGGAACAACAGATTCCAACGCCGTTGCCCTACCTGGAGTCGGACGCCTTTGACTTCCTGGATAAGAATCAAATGCAACAAAGTCAATCTCAGGCACCCTTGCAAACCAATAATTTCGATGAATATCTGCCCTATGACCCAAGTACTGGTCAAATTACAGGCTCATTCTTTCCATCAAGTGCCGGTATCGATATGGATTTTGATTATATGTGGGACAGCTCTGTATTTTGACTGCATAATACATACAACTGTTCTCTTCGGTACGTATACATGTTGAAAAAAGAAGGACTTGTTGAAAGTTTTGCGGACCTTTTTGCACAAAGTGATTTTATTCTTGTATTAAACATGGACTACATAATTATTATCATTTTGGTTGTGTGATTTATGCCAAATCTGATGCTGTACATTTAATCATATGGAGTGCCATTTATAGAAAGATTCGTTTATTCCTTATTCACACTTGCACATGGACTCATAGTTCGGATCTATCTATCATCAGGTGAACATACTCTGCGTAATTTGACTGGAAATGGGAAATTCACATTTCGTGTTCGCTTTGCCATTAGCATAGTTCTATGATTTATAATCAGTCCAATACTCCTAAAGGCAAACACAACCGTGCCTGATGCACCCACGGGATTGATTTTTGGGATAAGCTTAAAACGATAGCACCTAGGACCCTGGAAATATGCGGGATCTAGACTGGTCTGGACATCACCCTGACAGAATCTAGACTCCTTTACTATTTGCCTCAAATCTTTTGATATTTTCGTAGATACAATGCAGGGACCCCGAATTGTTGGTTTAGCTCTAGAGAGAAAGACAGTATATATGGCCCATAAGCTAATATGGAAGTCCATATTCCTCTTGTCCCTTTCCACATGTAGCAGAGGATTAGAGTGACAAAACTTCACTATACAATTGCCACCCTTTGACGTCGAAAAGAAATCTCGATTTATCCATCCTATATAGATTAGGAGATGCGTTCTAAGCGTGGCGAGCAACTGGAAGCGACTGAGACTACCTCTGGGTTTTGATCGCGTCACAATTGAATTATCGAAACGAGTGGTTTAAGACAAGCGACATAATTATCCTCTGAGTTAAGTTTGTTTTAAACATTCTCTTCTTCAACTTTCCACGGAGTACTGAGATTTGTTTATGTTACACTGCGTCTAAAACTTAAAGGAATGCTCTTCTTCATAACCGGCTCTAATCGACAGATAATACATGATATAAAGGAAACTCAGCTTTCCCAATTTCTTTTCAATGCTGTAAAAAACAATCTTGCCTCTTCTTGCGACTGCTGTAAAACGTTCAATGGCAAAGTTGATGGTGATGACGTGCTCGGTGCCACCACTTTACCGGCCTTTTCAACTATAGAGACGGAGTGGTTCATGATGTCAATGGCAGAAGGCCTTGGTGTAATCTTCCGAATCCCCACAAGCTTCGCTCCGCGTATATCAACTTCTGCGCTTGATCGACTAGGTGACTTCCAAGAGTCTGTATTACGCTTTCGCTGACTAGCGTGCGCAGTACTCCATTTCCACACCATGACGTCTGTTACTCCAATAACAGCTCGTCGATGTCCGATAAAGCCGTCAATGCAATCTAACAATGGAAGCAGACGCCGACGGATTCCGCATCCGGTATGGTTAGGATCAAGTTGATAGTCGGGTACTTGACGCAGGGACGCAGTGATGGACAATATATCAGAAGAAGCTATATTCGCAGCACGATTTCCTTCATTGTAGGATACATTTCTTCCATCTTTGTATCCTTTTTGATCATCCCATCCTCCTTGTTCTTCGTCTTCTTGTTCTTCTTCATCGAAGGCGTTATCGTAACCAGAATCGATCAACGTAGATCCTAGAAATATAGTCTTGGACCGCATGGAGAAAAACCGAATCATTTCACCGAGGTGAAAAGAGTCACAAGCCCTAGAGTTGTCGAAGCCCCATCGGCATTGTAAGGAGCGGGGGTTCGATGAAACAGCCGTTACAAGCATATTATTTTTTGTTTGAGGTTTGCTGCGCTCGACCTCCTCGTCTTCCAATGCACCGTAAGCGCGTAGGAAGTGGGCTTGTAGATCAGTTATTGTGTTCATTATACATTGTCGTCTGTAATATAGTTCCTCTAATCATAACTATGAGTCCATTTATCAATTTTTCAACGATATTTGCTCCGAATACAAAAGCACGTACCTTCTATTCCATTTTCAAAATATGACCAACGATGGCTTCCAGATTTATCAGGTCCCATACCTCCATCTAGCCATCTTATGGACCCTAGTAATATCAATGCATGTGAAGCCACTCGAAATATTGTATCATGTTGTATGGACATTGCTATATATATGACTTGGCGAAGCCTTTCCTCGCTTAGCTTCAATAAGGATGGGTTGAATAATTCAAGAGATTGGATGCCTTTGATATAAGGGCGATACTTTGCTTTACCCAAAGACTCATTGACCGCCTCTGCCGAACTGAACAAGCCCCCAACCTCTATCAACCCGGCGATGATAGGAACGGATTGTTGAAGTAGTTCTGTTCCTAATTTAGCGCTGAGATCAGCGTCTTGGGCAGATATTAATACTTTGAGGAACAACTCGAGACTCTCTATTCGATGCTTGCCCATCAAGCGGCTTAAATTCAGACTAATCAGTGGCAATTGCTCTGGCGATTCGTTCTCATAATCGTTATCAGACTTGATATCAAACGCCGTCAACGGCTCCTTTGACCGAGCTTTGTTCTCAACGAATTTTCTTCCCTCAGAGAACTTGTTTGGGTCTAACAAAGCAGAAAAGAAACGACTATTTTTCATCAGGCTGTCGCTAGAGACCTGCCAGCGATAGTGCGTGATGGTTTTGTTGCGCGAGTCGGTGTCAACATATTCTAGGATGGCATCTCCGTCTCGCGATAATATTCTATGAATTATCTTGGAGCCATTTGAGGCGATTTCCACGCCACGATACCCATTTTCTGAAGCAGCCAAGCCGTTTCTGTTCAGGGAGGCGCTGGCGGAATGCTTTGCTGAGCGGCCTGATGATGGAAGAGGGGGAAATTCTGACTCCATGCCAAGACCCCAGTCTCTTGTAGCATATGTTTGCTCACTACTAACGATGTTGCGAACTCATCTCTAATCTGCAGATATGTGTAGGATCGAGGAAGACGAAATTTCGATGGAAGGTTGAATTAAGCTCGCCGCCACATGGTCCGTGCGTAGCGATTACCCCACAGCGACCAAAAACCTGAGGCGTCGTCGTGACCTGGCCATATTCACCTCGCGGCTGAACCTCGCATCTTTCATTATAAAAATATATTCATCAGGTTTACAAAGAAAATCAACGACGTTGCGGAGCGGATAGTTAAAATTGTGAACACGTGTCTGAGTGGCAAAAAGGATTTGTAAAACATCCGAACCCGAACTCAGCCCCTGGCCAACCTGAAATCATCCATCCAACATGCCGAGAAGGAGCTCACAGTCATCATGTACAAAAATAGTTCGATCCTTCTGAAGCAGGATATTGCGAAATACTACTCGAATGCCTTTTTATCTTATCGAAATGTGAGGTTCTGTTCATTATCTCATCCTTCCACAACACGACTAGGACCACAGCCAGAACTATGCATAGAAGCGTTGAATGGAACAAGTAATGCCCCCCCCCCCATAATCAATCCTTGGAAAATAAATAAGCAGCAAGCTAACATGCGTGTGATAGATGAGAAAATATCCGAAGAAGACTTGTACCGATACACTCGGCACCGATGGCTGTACGAGATTACTTAGTGTCTAGTTTGAATCCTGTTTACTGGGAGATCTTTAGACTCAACGAAGAGGCTGAGCTCTCTAAACGTTATGTGAATTTTTATTTGCGTCAACTTATCGCTATTGCTGTCGGCGTTAGTGATGGAGCTCAGTACTGTATGTCTTATATTTTGACAGTCAACGCAACAACAGAGTATTGACCGAAATCACCATTGGGCAGGTACTAGTGTAATTAAATGCCCGGAGGGTCTAACAACAAAGCATTTATCTTGATCACGGACAATGGGACCGAAGTGTTTACGAAACTCCCGAACCCAAACGCCGGACCCCCTAAATACACACCTGCTTCTGAAGTCGCTACCCGCAAGTTGGTATGGTGAATATTCTTATACGATAGTTAACTCATTTATCTAATTTTTCTAGCTACGAGAGGTTTTCAATATCCCTGTTCCCCGCGTTTTTGCGTGGTCTGCAAATGCAGCGAGTAACCCTGTCGAGGTAGAGTATATCATTGAAGAGAGGGCACCTGGTGTTAGGCTTGGTACGCTTTGGAATCAATTGTCACGACAAGCAAATCTCAATTTGGTCACACAAGTAGTTGACATAGAGCAAAAACTGACCACGATTCCCTTTCCTAAGCATGGCTGCATCTATTTCAAGGAAGATTTGCGTTCATTAACAGGATATGCAGAGGATCTCAACATTGAATCTACTATCCCTGAAGCCCTCGAGCCGCTTCCAATAGGCCCACTTACTTCAGCCGAGCTGTGGGTGCGCAGGGCGAGAGCCATGTGAATATACACAAGCATTAGGGCGCAATGGGATGGCATGGATCAAATCATATGCATCTCCTAGGATGGACTATTACAGGTCAACTCAAGATCATGAGCTTCCTAAGGACGCAATTTCTTTCCTTACTCAATATCTAGACGTGGCCCCTTATTTGGTTCCTTCACAGACCGAAGACGCAGGACTACCCAGAGTTCTCCGACATCCTGATCTTCATTTGGATAACGTATTTGTTGATCCCAATCCTTGCAAGATTACATGCATTGTAGATTGGCAATCAGCATGTGTGGTCCCCTCTGTCCTATCAGTCTGATGTCCCAAGGATGTTCCGGCATCATGGGCCCATCAGAGAGGGGTGGATTGTCCCAGGGAGGCCTGAAAATTTCGACAGCCTCGGCCAAGATGAACAAAAGAAGATTGATAGTGATCTGAAGAGCGAGACTATACCCAAATATTACCAAGCTCAGGTTTACAAACGGGCACCTCACCACTGGGCTGTTCTTCGGCAGACAGTGACCCCCTTTGTGTGAAAACCGGTCTGGTTGGTAAGCGGAGTGTGGGAGAATCGAGATCTCTTCTTTCTGCGCCAATCACTTATATGGCTCGCTGCTCATTGGAATGAGCTACTTCCCGATAGCCAGATACCCTGCCCAATAGGGTTCACAATGGAGGATCTTGAGCGCCACTCCAAGGAGGAGGAGAATGTCGACGGCGTTGGGTAAATGCTTTCCTTATTTCGGGACGAAGGCGTTTTACCCGTTGATGGTATGGTTGCCCCTGAAGACTATGAAATTGCCAGTGCAAACTGTCGGGAATTTAAAGATATCTTTGTTGGATCGGCTCAAGATGAAAGCGAGAGGTATTATTTGAGAAGCTCTGGCCATTTCAAGAGAGTGAGAGATAGTCAGTTCAATATGCTAGGTTGAACTTGGCTAGGCAATAATATTAGTAACTACGATGATGCTTGCACATATTCTCGGAGTATTGCCAACCCTCTAATATGAAGCTGATATCGTTACTCTTCCATCACATACGACCATAGGGTGTGGAAAACAGGGCTTCCCGTCCGCTCAGCCGTACTTAAGCCACACGCCGGCCGGTTAGTAGTTGGGTGGGTGACCACCAGCGAATCCCGTCTGTTGTATGTTTTTATGCTGATTTTTTTGCTTACCTGATGGGTATCCTGTTTATAAATGCCGTTTTCAGAGGCTGACCAAGTGTTCCAGGTAGCTACGATGGTGACATCTGCCACAACATGCCGAATTTAAAGAAAAGAAAAGAGGAAGAGACCAAGAGAACGGATATATTTACCATCTTTCCTCTCACTCACAAGGGAGCTGCAGTCGTTTTTAGCGCTAGCACTTTCCTTCTCATATCGTTTGTTGCTGAAGCCGGCTTGCAACCTAGGCAGGCACAGGATCCTTTTCAAGGTCGAGTTAATCAATTAATTCTAAGGTTTGATAAATCCGTGATCAGTTATTATATAGTTCTAGATACACTATATATATTACCGGTCAATAAGTTTACAACAGGGTCTGGTCTTATGTACTTTCTGTACCCTGATGGGGCTCCATTAGACGTATTGAATTATCGGGAACAAGAATAAGCGAAAAGCGGAAATCTTCCGTGTCTCATCAACTTGGTGCGGCAGGGAACGAACTAGCGTTTCTAGGATGTATGAAAACGATATATTTGGCCACGAACGCGCAAAAATAAAATTCTTGTTCAGTCCTGCTGTTCATACGTGCTTATACTAGTAATCTAAGGTTTACTTACAATCAAATTGGTGTATCACTCTCACATGAATATGCCCTTAATGAACAGCTCTAAATAACATTTTCTAAGGTGTCAAAAGTGCCTCGAAGAAGCCCAATTCACCAGCTCCGATAACGAGAATCTTTTGGCGAGCCATTTCTCAATGATGTTACAGACTGATGATATCGAGTGGGAGGTTCCTTGGATTGTGCTTGTGTATCCCTTCCTCGTCCTAGCTCCACTGGTTAACTCCGTGGGCATAATAATATCAAATCCAGAAATCCACAGAATGAAATACTCTCCCTCTTCAGAATACGAGAATTGCAGAGCTCAAGTTTCTTTAATGGAGACTCCTCGTATTTCCGGTCTTTTCATGACGTCTCGGCTGGCTGACAAACCAAGTCATTTTATGTCTCTTGCCATGTACGTGTCTTTGAAAATAGTCGAAATGACAGCTAAAGTGGCCAATTATTATATGGAAATATTTGTCGCAATGTTTGAATCAAGTTTTTAGTCATTCAGGCCAGTGATACTTTATGAGTTGACATAGAATTGGAGAGTTTTGGTCAAATCGACATGGAGCATTTATAGTCATTCTTGTTATGCTCTAATAGTGAGCTTTGAGTAATATCAGCTCTGGGGTACATCATTATCAAGATATTTAAGCAGCAACATGTAGCTGTTCCTCTTCGTATCCACAACTAGCTATATCCCAAGTTAGTCATCCTATCTACTAACCGCAGCCTCCTTGTCAGTGGCCAGCATCCTCTGTATGGCTGGCCGATTCATGCAGCGCTCCCACCAAGCACTCACTGCTTCGCGACTAACAATAATATCTCCATATCCGCATACAAAAAGTCTTTGGATTAACGGAATGTAGTAGATGTCCACGAGAGTGAAGTCATTTCCAGCCATGTATTCCCTGTCGTGTAAGAGACGTTCCGCAACATCGAAAAACATCTCAACCGACCGCAGTGCATCCAAGACAACAGCTTCATTAGGAGGCAGTCCAATAAACTTTTTGACAAATTTCTCGAAGGCGATTCTACCTGCAGGTTCTGCGAAGTAGGACATTTCTGTGCACTGCGCCTGGTCGAACAGCGCCGCAGCTTCGACGTCGGAGTCCGGTGGTAGAAGAGGAAAGGAGTACTTCTTTGCGATGTATTTGCAGATTGCACGACTCTCGTAGAGAGTGAAACCATCGGGGAAGGTCAATACGGGTATTTTACCCCATGGGTGACGTTTCGTGTGTTCTTTGGACTGGATACAACCGCGTTAGCTCCCACGAGAATCGAGCTATGCGGCCAGGGGAACAAACACTGAAGTGACAAGAAATTTTTATATATCGGTTGCGAAGTAAACGGGTCACTCACCTTTTGCTCTCCTATCTGAAGGTTTAGAAACACGAGTTCGTAATCCGTAAAGTCACCTTCGGCAAGTGTCAAACGGACCCGGTCGGTATTTGTCGAGCCGCGAGCGCCATATAGAGTAAAAGCCGGCATTTTTGAGCTGTACAGTATTTCCGATGCGAATCTTGAGCTGGATGAGAGTCTCGACATAGTGTAGATACTTGATTTTGAGAGACATGCGGACAGCCGCTTGATATATAAGAAAAGGCATCGAGCTAGCGACTTTTACGGGGCCTGAATATCTTAACTTTCATCAAAGATTAGAATAAAACAAAACCCTTCCCAGTATATATATGCCATAGTAGTATTGCGCAATATGATTGGTGGGTTCGCTCTCGCTACCCAATCTAGTTAGCACCAATGTCTCCGCTATTTAAGTATATTTTAACCTCCTGCTTGACTCATCTTCCTTCTTCCTGCATTCTTTGATTTGTCTGTTCGGATTTTCTGCTTCTTACAGTGTCGATAATACGTTGACTATCAAGTACAACATCAAGTGTGGAGAGCTGGACCCATTCGAACAAGCAATACGAGGTTGACAGACTCTTCGGACGATGGGTTTGACTCAGGTTGATGAAGCAGGAAGTAACTTTCTTCTATACTGATTATTACGAAGAAAATTGCACTGTCTACCGACCAGCGTGAATGCTCCATCCGCTACCCAAAAATGGCTGGAAGCGTTGTCGTCCACAAATGGAACATGAAACGTAGAACCAAGGTAAAAAGCGGTTGCCTTACCTGTAGGTTAGTTCATAATATACAGATCCGCATGTGATTAAAATTGAATCTCAGTTCTTGTGCCTAACCAGAAATAGGACTAGGAAAATAAAGGTAATCGACTACGTCCCATTTCTTATGGATACCCCGTTTCCCCCCGTTTCCCCTCACTTCTATTTCTTTTTATGCGAGCATCCTAGTCAGGGGTCACCGTATCTCGCTAACTAGGGTCAAGTGCGACGAGAATAAGCCGTTTTGCCGGAAATGTGTCAGCACTGGTCGTACTTGCGACGGCTACGAATCCCCCTTTAGGGCTTTCGCCAGTCAACCCATTAACAACGCCTATGCTGACGGCAAGAAATCAGATCCTGGTTTACAGTCCGCCTACATTGAGGTTACCTCTCGGGATATCGACCTTCTCAGTCGTCACTTTTCAATCAAAACCATGTTTGACGTGAATCTGGACTGTGACGAAGAAGCCCGGCAAGTCCTCCAAGCCAGCTTGACTGATCCGCCTATACGACACGCACTTTTGTCTCTAAGAACACTTCGAAGAGATGTTGAGAGGCTCGGAGACGGTCAGCAGACCTCGAGCTATCATTACGGTCTCCAGCAATACACTAAGGCCTTGGGGGGTCTTGCTTCTACCTTGTCATCTCCCAGTTCCAATGGGTTGAAGTCGGCATTACTTTGCTGCCAGATCTTCATCAGCATTGAGCAAGTACGGAAAAATTTTGCTGGGATGGCCCAGCATATTATTCAAGGACTCAATATCATGCACGAGTACCGGGCAAGGCCAAGTTTTGTTACCCCGAACAAATTGATGCCAGGAAACCATGATCAATTACCTCTGCTGGATGTTTTCATCATCAAGATGTTTGCTGCGCCGTGTAAATTTACAACACCTCCAACAGCAGTTGAGGCACCCCGAACGCTGCCACATCAACAGCCCGCTGAATCTCACGATCTTCGCACGATTGCACCCGATATGCGGACAGAGCTTACGAGGATCTCCGCGTTAACGCTTGAATTCCTCGACAGAGTGTCGCAGATTAAAACAGAAGAGATTGCTCTTCAACTACTATCTGAGAAAGCAGCTTTGCTAGATTCTTTAGAAAAGTGGCTCATTAATCTTGAACTCGTTCAAACGAAGACTCGGCCTTCTGGACCTGAGCCGGTTTCAGTGTCTTTCCAACGCCTCTTCCATCTAGTACTGAAAATCGTTCTCCTGGGGGCACTGGACTTCTCACAAGATGTTTATGCCGAGCTGCAGCCTGAGAATGACCGATTGCAGGCCATAGCCAACAACGTGGGCGAAAGAGTCAGCACTTACAGATATAAGGTGGAATGACGAATTGAACATTTCATGTATTCTACCAGAAGCCTTTCAAACCCTTTACAATAATCCACCCACACAACTTCTTAGAATCAACTCTATTCTGGCTATTCACCCAGGACTGCAGCGCCAAGTCGACACGTAGGGACGTTATATTGGAGGAGCCACCAAAAGGAGTCTACGCTGACCTAAGTGGGTAGCAGGGGAATGTACGTAAATTCGAGAGAAGGGTGCTTTGGTATTCTAGCAAAATGGGGTAATATTTTCAGCCTCGCATCTGGGCCCTACCATTTCACAGCCAATGGATGCCAGCAGCAAGTGAAGAGGTGGCCTAGTGCATTTCAACATATTCATGAAGAAAAACGAGTGGGTCAACTTCCATTTGCAGTACACACACCGAACAGACCAATCAGCAGCTGACTTTGTACCTAAACCGGACTCACTCATCAATCATGGTCGTCTGTCCTGGAGGCCTGGTCAAACTCATAAAGGGGTGCGCAACCCCATCACCCTTTGATAGCAAAGTCTCTTCCTCTGTGCACAAGCCTTCAAGCAGACGACAACACAACGGCATCACCCACCGTCAAAAGCTATGCATTTCCTCCTCCTTGGTGCCAGTGGACGGACCGGCCAGCACGTCGTATCTGAATTGCTCTCTCAGGGCCACACAGCGGTGGCCCTTGTGCGTACCTGCAGCAGCCTCGCCGCTCGCCCCGGCCTTACTATCGTCACTGGCTCGGTACTCTCGAAATCAGACATACACAACGCTCTTTACGCGGTGCCTTCTCTATTACCTTCTGCGGCGATCATCACCTTGAACACAGTTCGCAAGTCTGACAGCCCTTTCGCAGCTCAGGTCTCACCTCCTCGCTTTCTAGCCGACTCATGCGCCAATGTCTGCGAGGTTCTGGAGCAGGCCGGCATTCGTCGCGTGGTGGTTATGTCGACAGCAGGGGCAGGAGATTCATGGGCTAGACTACCGTTGTTGAGTAAGGCATTCATGTCATGGACCAATGTCAAGTACGCACTCGAGGATCACGGCCTCGTAGACAAGGAGATTCGGGAAACGAAGATGGATTGGACTCTTGTGAGACCTGTGAGGCTGGAATTCGACGATCAGAAGCCAACTAAGACGAAAAGAGACGTGAGGACGCTGGGCAGCAAGGGCGATGGAATGAGCTTGACCGACAGCGTAGGTGTAGCTAGTGTAGCAAAGTTCATGATCAAGGTTGCGGTCAAAGGGCTTTTCATTCAAAGCGCAGTGGTCGTGGCCGATTAACGCTGTTGAGGTAGTTGTGGGCTTTGTTGATATTACTCTGGTATGCTGGGAGACAGGCTGAACGAATTCTTCTGATTGTTCATAGCTAGCTAATAGAATCGGTTTTCAGACCAAATTTTCCCGAGCTTAGATGTGTAGGAAAAGTGGTATTCCATTACGATTCCGAATTATCAGGTCGGACTATCCGTATGGCAATATTCCCCATACGAAGACGTTGCCATGAGTGCTTTGCTTTGACTCATATCGCGTCTATTGATGAGAATATCTGTTCTAGGGATCTTTCCATAAAGAAAACCCAAACCAAACTCTTTTATGCTCTCATGAACTTCTTGAGTCTACCTGAAACATCGTCATGGAAGATATTAAGTCTCCTCTGCGACTCACCAATGCTCTGGGGGAGCTATGCTAAAGGTGTAGTCGTCACATACAACCAGAATATTGTCGCCAAGTCACAATGAGAGACAAAAATGACAGCGAACATAGAATGCAAAGGATTCCCCCAATATTTCTACTTCGAGGGCGCATGGTTTCATAGATTTCGTTCCGTTTCGGCTCATCTTAATGTCAGGTATGATTCTGAATCAAGCATGGGCTCAAATATCGCATGAGGATAAGTTGTTGATACGAACACAACTTGAAAACATTTTCCATTGGCTGAGGACTATTCACCGTTAGAACGCTAGTTTGCTGTGGAGATGGAGTAAATAACTCCGGCTCGATGAATGTTCAGTTTCAAAGCTCTTGCCTCAACCAGTGGTTTCAGCGATCTACAGTGTTCCCCACGACACCACGGCAGCAAGACTTAGTCAAGCTCAGTCGTCCTTCCTTGACCATGATAACTCGACGATGATACCAGAATCAGTGTTCACGTATGGCGACGTTCGGACTGATATCATTATGGTGAAGAAGGAATTTACTGGCTAAGTTGTCACTGGTGTCATTGACTAGGAGAACAGCGGGACCTATCCAGCATACCATGAATGCACTGTTTTGACGCGTACCTCAAGACTCACCGATGAAAACGATTGGTATCTCTATCTGCCAAAGAAGCATTGCGCCTTCGACTTTTTTCACACTTGGTTGGTTGATCGACTTTGGGCGCATCATCTCAGGACCACATACTGGTCAGGAATTTCTTGAACTCTGGAGAAGCATTATACGATGGTGCGCATAAGCTTGGAAATAGAAAGGATATTATTTATGATAGGTCTCATCACTGAGGGCAGCAGTATGTTGAGATTTTTATCTTTATCCCAAGATGGATAATTGATGAGGCTCTGGGGACATCGATGAATGATTTACTATCTGTATCTGGCACATGCGGTATATACTCGAGTACGACATGAAATCTCGAGATTTTCACTAAAGATGCTTGTATAAAAAAGCAGTTAAAGTTTATAGCATATTACACTCCACTCACTAACTGGTTACATAATTAAGATACTCTAAAAACTTGATTACTCTTATGAATGTTCGGACCCCCAAATCAAGTACCTCCATTTATATACAAAACTAATCGATTGAAGACCTCAGTTATTAGCTGGCTTACACAACATTTACCACATCTAGAGCACAACTAGCTATGTATATTTGCCTTGTTATATGGAAGATAACTAGTCAATACCTTAATAAATATTAAAGGGTTGTCATTCAGACCCGGAGTCCCTAATACTCGATATACATTGCGTCCTACACATTTAGCATTGATTTTTTAACTTGTTATTAAGTTATGTTAAGTCTTGAGCAACAAGTTAGTCAAGTATAGGCCTTAACTAAAACTAGCTACTATACGAACTTACTTCGTCGCCATCTATCATAAAACGCAGAGCTACACCACACAAAATTTCCTTTAGCGGAGAATTAGGCTAGTATAGCAATTGAGAGAAAAGGAATCTATTCTTTTCTCAACTATAATACTTATTTAATTAGTAATATGTTGTAAAACAGTTCTCCAAATTCGCCATGTTTTTACTGAACAGGAGATGGGGAGCCACGGCCAAATCTAAGGCCGCAGGTCTACAGCGAAGGATCTTTACCCGGACAGCATACAGATCAAGAAATCCATTACTATAAGAAGGCATTTTGTTGGAGATCCTCCAAACTTCAAACAGGGCTAATGTACACACTCAACCAAGAAAAGCCCTGTCAAAGCTTTCGTCGGTCGACCAGAAAAAGCGGTCCAGAAGGACCAGACTGGTTGACTATCCCATAAGAAAAAAAGCCAATAGTCTCGTGACACTATTTCATCATAATATTGACCGCCAGATGCGTCCAAATTCATTATCAATTTCACACTTGTCCATTCTGCCGAGCTGACGATACATCAAAACCAGATTACATACCATCAAATTCGCCATCACAGTCCGATTGCCCAGTTGGCAACAACACCAACTCAGGACTTGATTCTGTAGAGCCTCCGACTCTCTGAATCAGCCATCTAATCTTACATAAGCAACAGCTAGGTAGTATTTGAGCGAGATAGCATCTATTTCATCATAGCCAATGCTTTCTTCATGTTTCCCAATTGCCTGTTCTAGAATAGCTATCATCTTAGCTTTAGGGGTCATGCGGCCGTGTGCTTCCGCTAGATGAACAATGCAGCAGCATACTATGAAATCTGGATATCCCAAATACACCCTGCCTGCCTCAGCGGCATCTTACAGTAGATGCACTGCTTCTGGTAAGCGGCCTTGAAAGACGTATTCCCAGCCAGTGCTATATCCATGACGGCGATTGTATAAGGATGACCTGGTGCACGCTGCCCACGCTAGACCATTCTGAAGCCCTGCCAAATCTCCTATATAAACTTTTCTCTCTATTCACCAAGCACATGCGACCATAGGGTGTGGAAAACAGGGCTTCCCGTCCGCTCAGCCGTACTTAAGCCACACGCCGGCCGGTTAGTAGTTGGGTGGGTGACCACCAGCGAATCCCGTCTGTCGCATGTATTTCTGCTTTTTTTGCTTCTCCTTTTTTTTTTTCTTTACCAGGTGGTTTTTGTTGTGCCCTTGTAGGCTTGTGATGCCAGCGGGCCTTCATCTTCCCGTGGTGTCTAAGGGGTACTCCATAGTATAAAACGCAGCTCTAGATAGCTTGAAACTATCTTATAGATAGATAGATAGCTGCATTTCAAGATGAGACATGCGAGACAGGAATGCAATGTTTGTAGTTCACTGCGTGCAAGGCTATCTATGCCTGGCCAAGCCTTAAAGATTAGGAGTTGAATAGAACCAAGAAGATCATTGATGATAGATGTCATGACGTGTAGACAGAACAGAGAAATTCCAGATTTGTGTTCAACCCAAGCTCTGGGGTATAGCGACCACGAGTTATCCGGGGGCAAGTATCGTTGAATTGATGGTCAAAAAATTACTACTTCGAGCTAGCTAAGTGTCATCCCTATAAGTATCCTGGTGACACAAGCTACACCTGCCTATTACCGCTAGCCGAGGGACTTTGACCTGCAGTACCCCTCCGGCAAGACCTTAGAATAAAACTACAAGGTCATCAAAAGGGACGACTGCTGCATGGAGTAGTGACCGGTCACGCACTTTATCAAATAATTCCAGCATGGCTACATTGGAAGAATATCTATCACAAGCTACGGCTCCAGGTCCCGATCGACAGCTGACCGGCTGTGTTGTGATGGCTGCGAACAAAGATGGTACGTGAATTTGATCTGGTTATAAAGCATATCGGCAACAACTGACTATGTAGATACATAGGCATCGCATACTCCAAGAGCTTCGGCTCAATGTCAGTAGATCCAACCTCGCATCTCTATTCTGAACCCCTCACCCCGGACACAACAATGTGGATTGCATCCAACACAAAACTCATGACGGCTATCTCTGCATTGCAATGTGTGGAGAGAGGATTGCTAAGCCTAGATGATGATGTTTCCAACATCCTTGAGGAGTGGAAAGCTCCCGAGATTCTAGTCGGATTCGAGGACGACACCGGGAAGCCAATCGTTCAAAAGGCGAAGAATAAAATCACACTTAGATTGCTTCTCACGCACCAGAGTGGTCTGGGATATGACTTTCTTCAGCCCCAACTAACACGTTTCTCAAAGTACATGGAAGCCAACGGAAAAGCGGGCATCCAGCCTATCGTATGAGCACTTCATACTTATATGAATTATGTATAGTTGCTAATCTTATGTTTTTCTTCTAGCCCAAAATGTACCTATTTCCACTACTTCATGAACCAGGCACTTCCTGGTCATACGGTGTCGGCCTCGACTGGGTCGGTCAGATGATCGAGCGCGTGACCAACCAAACCCTAGGCGCGTACATGGAAGCAAACATCTGGAAGCCTCTCGGAATGACCTCCACCACTTTCCGGATACAAGAACGGTCTGATATCAAATCTCGGCGCGCAGACATGTCCATGAGAATTGCTGATGGAACTCTGATCCCCAGCCCGACACGCTTTGTCTCCGACGATCTTCCGGACGACCACGGTGGTGGGGGCCTCTTCTCCTGTGCAGCAGATTACATGAAGCTTTTAGTCTCAGTTCTAAAGAATGATGGTACTCTGTTGACATCGAGCAGTATGGAGGCTCTATTTATGCCATGCCTCTTCCCCGATGGAATTAAGGCACTGCGAGATAACAGAGCAGCAATTTACAAGGGCTTTCGAGAAGGTAAAATAGGCTCCAAGGCAGAGAAAAAGGTCATTCAGCCTTATGAGATGAATCATGCCCTTGGTGGCCAGATATCAGAAAGAGATTGGACAAATGGCAGAAAGGCAGGGAGCATGAATTGGTCCGGGCTCCCCAACCTCAGCTGGTTCATTGATCGCAAGTCAGGCATCGCACTGCTTTATTCTAGCCAATTATTGCCATCGAGCGATCATGTCACTAGGGTGGCATTTGAGAGGTTTGAATATGCGGTATACAACGGGGAGCTTGGCGATATTGGTTCTTTAGGCTCGTAGTCGAAATAGTTACATTCGAAACCTCAGGCAGGATCTTCAACAATCAATTCGAAATTTTCCTTCATGACTATGGGCAATTCGGTCGATTATCAGCATGGCAGCCTTATAATCCTGGTACGTATGTAGCAAATTTGTATTTAGTTTAAGAAATTCGAATGGCTTAGAAAATATGAGTTAGGGCTGCGGACTAGACTAGCCCTAACTAAGGGCAGTGATCGGTGGAGCTTAGCGCGTTTGCCTCAGGACCGACCCCGGATTTTACGGCGGTCGTAAGACGGACGGATGAAGATCTCCATCTATAAAGAGCCGCTTTTCCACATTATGAGCACGAACTATTCTAGATCATTCTCTCTCTCTCTCTCCTTCTCTACACTTCAGGTACAGCAAGTAAATATCTATCTTTAACATGGCAAACGACATAGAAACCGCCTTTCAGGCCGCCATCGATGCCGGAAAGATCAACGGCGCCGTTATCTGCGTCACTGACGCCGAGGGCCGTTTTGTGTACGACAAGGCTCTCGGCGAGCGCACTCTTCTGTCAGGCGAGAAGCGTCCCCAGCGACTGGACGACATGTTGCACCTGGCCTCAGCAACCAAGGTAATGGCCACCATCGCCGCCCTGCAGTGCGTGGAGGACGGCCTCCTTACCTTAACCGGCGATGTATCATCTATCGCACCCGAACTCGCTAGCAAGCAGGTTCTCACCGGCTTCTCTGACGACGGCGCCCCTATCCTTGAGCCGCAGAACGGCCCAATCACTCTGGAAATGCTGCTCACGCATAGCTCTGGCACTCCCTATCACTTTCTAACACCACCTATCGCCCGATGGAGAGAGAAGTTCGTCTCTCGGCAAGAAGGCCAGCGCAAAACGGTCGAAGAACTCTTCTGCTACCCACTCAGCTTTCAGCCTGGCACAAGCTGGATGTACGGCCCCGGACTTGACTGGGCCGGTCGCATCGTAGAGCGAGTGACAGGACTTACATTAGGCGAGCGCATGCAGCAGCGCATGTTTGACCCGCTCGGCATCGACGACGCCCAATTCTTCCCCGTCACGCGCGAGGAGCTGCGCTCTCGCCTTGTCGATCTCAACCCCAATGACCCTGATGGCTTCGGACGCGCGGTGGTCGGCGGCGGCGGCTCCAATCATTCCAACAGCCAAACAAAAGGGGACTTTGGCGGTCACGGCCTGTTCATGTCGGGAGCAAGTTTCGTCAAGGTTCTTCACTCGCTGCTGGCCAACGACGGAAAGCTGCTTAAACCTTCTACCGTCGACGACATGTTCCGGCACCACCTTTCCCCCCAAGCCACAGCGGGTCACCAAGCTGCGCTGGCAGGCCCTATCGGCCCGTTCTTCCGCGTAGGCATTGCCCCAGAAGTCAAGCTGGGATTCGGCCTGGGGGGCCTGCTCACACTGCAGGACGCAGATGGCTTTTATGGCGAAGGCACGCTGACATGGGGTGGTGGGCGTACGCTCACCTGGTTCATTGACCGCAAGAACGGGCTGTGCGGTATTGGTGCCGTCCAGGCCGCGCTGCCGTTCCACGGTGACACAGTTGAAGCGCTGAAGGACACCTTCGGTCGTGATATCTACCGCAAGTATGGGGCATGGAAAGAACAGTCGTGACAGTTGTTCGAGAATTTTCTTTTTCTGCCTAATTTTTTATTTTTTTGTGAGAAATACTTGTGCCGGAGTCAATCCAAATACCCCCATTATCAATTCCTAGTACTAGTAGCGGGCGATTAGGCTCCAGCGGCTCCGAGTGTCGGCCAGTGACAGAGACGACGGCCTTAAGCCACAATTTTGGTCTCGACGCTTCGGACCCTGAGGCTTAAATTTGATTATTTTCGTTTTTTTTTTATTCTACGTCTTCGCAATATCTCTTTTGCTTTTCTTCTTTTCCTTTCCCGCGTTGTTCTTTCTTTAGCAATTTACGCTCGCTTCCACCAGTCGCTCGTTATCTCCATATAAAAAATGTATTTGAATATCCTCGCTTTCATCGCCATCGCCGCCGCATCTGCGATTGAGGAACCTGCCCCAACGTACCTGGGCTGTTTCTCTAGCACCAGCAAGACCATTTCTGCTGGTTTCGTGTCCCTCGGAACATTCGAATTCCAGAGCCTGGAGTATTGCGGAAATCTCTGCTATACATCCGGGTTCTCTGCTTTTGCCCTAACAAGCGGCAATGAATGCTCATGTGGTTCTGCTCTTCCGCCGTCCAGTGATTTGGTCGATGCATCGCAATGCTCTCTGCCTTGTCAAGGATACGCCATGGAGACTTGTATGTTGGTCTTTTTAATATGCTCAACCTTTCCCTTGCTTTGAGTGTTGCTCCAGCATCGTAAGTACTGATAGCATCGATTCTCTAGGCGGTGGCTCGGACGCACTGGACGTCTATTCTATATATGACGTCTCTTATCCGACGGGGACCGCCTCGATTACTGCTGGTATTACGGCCGTTCCTACCACATCGACAGGCTACGACTATACGGCCCTGTTTTCGAGTAGCAATGAGTGGTATACGTCTGTCCCAGATAGCAGCAGCAGTGTCATCGATACGACGAGCCAAACAGTCGAAGCTACAGCTGGGTCGGGCATTTTGACTACCTCCACTGTTTCGCCTAGCAGTAGTAGTACCACGACTCCTGCAGCTACCACTACTAGTTTGCATTCCTCAACCGCAAATATTGTCACCCCTTCAGCGAGTACGGTAACATCATCCGCCGAGTCACCGGTGAGTACTGGTGCAGCAGCTGTGGTTCGTGTGCAGGGAATTGCCGAGTTGACATCTGCTCTCTTGGGTGTGAGCATATTTATACTCTTATAGAAGGCATGGATCACATCAAAGTCTTCAACATGCCTCTCAAAGATTTCTCGTTGAATGGTCTAGTCAAGGATATCAAGAATTGTAATTAGTTCATTACCTAGGTAGATAATAGCCAATCAATGTATAAAACCGTATGATTATGCAGACCTACGTGGTTTGTAGCCTGTTTAATTCACGTATTGGAATCATGGATGATTTCGTATTTCTGGTCTTCAAGACGGAAATTCACCACGTCTGGACTCAAGGAAGAATCCTGTAGCTGCGGTGCCAGTGACATGGATGACCTTTCCTACCTACTCAGTATCAGATGCAGTCGAGATGAAAATGGCGAGATGAGAGCGTCTCGCGCCGTCAGAGAAGACTGCAAGGCATATTGCGCGATACATGATTGGATTCAAGGAGAGAGAATTGTAACCTGCAAGTGTGTATTGAGTTATCCATTTATGGCCAGAAAAAAAGGCAGCAGAGCTGTCAAGGAAAGAGAGGTGGTGACTAAGCAAATCAGCCCCTGAATATCCGGGTCATCCTAAATCACGTGACCTAGAATCGTATGATCGGCGGCCAACCAAATACAGACAGCAAAAAAAAGCTCGGTGGCGACAATCAACCCCTGTTTTTCACTATCAAGCTCACGCCACTTTGAATTTGTCGAGCCGCCGATTCCGCCCTCGCTATAACTCATCCAGTCCGTCTCTTCCGCTTTAAAAGCGGTCGGTTAACGTCTGCTCTTTTGACTCTGTTCTCCAGGCTCCCGTGTTATTCGGCATTCTGCGCCATTTCGCGATTGCTCCTCGCAGGCCCCCTAACGATGCCGGGAAAGATTCTACCAACCTTTACGGAGGCTGAAGTGCAATCGCACAATTCCAAAAAATCATGCTATGTGATAATTGATACCAAAGTTTACGATGTGACCGAGTTTCTGGAAGGCCATCCGGCCGGAGAGGATCTGATTCTGGAGTATGGCGGAAAGGATGTCAAGGATATTATGAGTGATACAAGCTCCCACGAGCATTCTGATTCTGCCTACGATATCCTGGCGGAGTATCATATCGGATTTCTGTCCAATGACGGGGTAAAAACCAACGGGAATTCGCGGGCGGTCTACGAGAGAACAGGAATGGCAGACGAGGCCGATTTATCTGTTGAAACGGACTACGCTTCAGATTATAAGACGCATAAGTTTATAGATCTGAGTAAGCCCATGTTTCCTCAGATTTGGTTCGGTGGTTTCTCAAAGGAGTTCTATCTCGAGCAAGTTCATCGACCTCGGCATTATAAAGGAGGAGAGTCTGCACCCTTGTTTGGAAACTTCTTGGAGCCCTTGTCGAAGACCCCTTGGTATGTGGTACCTATCTTGTGGGGACCTATCGTCACATGTGGCACGCTTTATGGAGCTTATGGTTTAAATAATAATCTCTCTGCCGTGGGATTCTTCGTACTGGGCTTGTGTGTTTGGACTCTTTTGGAATACATATTGCACCGTTTTCTATTCCACATTGACAAGTGAGTTATAACCCATTTCCCACGCCGCTCACATTATCTAACGCGTCTTTAGGTGGCTACCTGACAACCGGGTTGGGATCACTCTTCACTTTCTCTTGCACGGTATCCACCACTACTTGCCCATGGACAAGTATCGCTTAGTCATGCCCCCCGCGCTCTTTACAATTCTTGCCCTTCCATTCTGGAAAGTAGCCCATGCCATACTCTATTTCAATTGGTATGCTGGCTTATTAGGGTACTGCGGAGGTGTTACTGGTTATATTTGTTATGATTTGACTCACTATTTCCTCCACCATCGCAAGTGAGTTTTTTTCAAACGGTCACCTTGTTTATCCTACGGAAAGCTAACATTTATCTCCCTCTGCAGTCTGCCTGCGTACTATAAGGAGCTTAAGAAATACCATTTGCAACACCACTTCGCCGATTTCGAGAATGGGTTTGGCGTCACCAGTCGATTCTGGGATCGTGTCTTCGGTACTGAGCTTGAGCTTCCACCCCCGAAGATCGTCAAAACTCAGTAGGTGACCTGCCTTCTCGTTACGCCGGAACATTGAACTCCGATCAGTCACTGTCTTATGAAATTAGTATCATACCCTAATATTAATAACGCTTCTCGTTGACACGTTCTTCAAACTCAATCTCCGCTGGTCCTGTTTTCAAGCATCTTACGTCCTCGGCCCGTTTTCGGGGTTGTATATTTTGTATATTTACTTGTTGGCATATACGTTCTCTCTTCTTTCTGGTCTCCCATCGCGACTGGTATAAGAAGGCATGTGTGGCAGAGTCTAGTCATGTTTATTGCTCATTGATAATCGTCAATGCTTCTCTGAGCCACGTATAAATTATTTTGCAAACCTCCGTGCCTCTCCGTCTTCTATCTTGTAGCTTACTTGGATTTAGCTGCGAAGCAGTAAGTGACATTTCGAACATTTGAAGTTTCCCATTGGCCAAGGCAGACACCGATATGACTGGCTGGCATGTTATCAGCGGCATCAGTCACGTGATAAAAAGATTCTTTTAGCCCGGCTATGTCAACGACCGCCACGCAAGCATCGCCGCCTATCTCTCTTTTATCACTTTTTAAATACAGACTGCGATTTAAAACGACACGTGGATTGTGGAAGGTTTTACAGTTTTACAATCAGATCTGCCTCACAATTTTGGGTGTTCAGGAACAGTTCATGCTGAAGGGTTCGCACACCACGCCAGATCTCACTTTTCCTCTCTAACAGCGCAGAAAAGTGATCCGTCTCCGCTCCCTGTTTTCTTCTCTGATTTCTGCGATTCGTAAGGAAGTCGTTATCTTTCCACAGAAATACCAAATAGCCAAAAATGTCAGGTCTCGATGTTGAAGCCCTTCTTGAGTCGACGGCTGCTTCCATCAATGAAGCTTCCGAACGAGACCGTGACGACCGCTCAAAAGTTGATTCAAGCGAACGCCGCGACCGTGATCGCTCCAGGGATAAGGAACGCCGACGGAAAGGTCGTAGCCGTGATCGCGACGACAAGGATGAAGATTTGAAAAGTCCGAGGAGCGAGCATGGCAGTGCTAACGGAAGCCATAGAAGCAGAAGGAGAAGCCGCAGCCGCGACAGTGACCGACGCCGGCGTCGCGACCGCTACGGTGATGATCATCGCTCAGGGGGTGATTTCTACCGCGGTGGAGGACGTGCCCGCTCGAGGTCACGCTCGCCTTATGATGAGAGATATTATCGTCCAAATGGCCGCTCCAGACGAGACGACCGTGAAGATGATAGACCTTCTCGTCGGGACCGCGATGGCAGAAGACGTAGCAGAAGCCGTGGACGCCGCAGTCGTACTCCAGAGGAAGACCTCAATGAAGACGAACGTGACAAGCGTACCGTCTTTGTTCAGCAGCTCGCTGCTCGTTTGCGAACCAAAGAACTCATTGCATTCTTTGAAAAGGTGGGACCCGTCAAAGAAGCCCAGATTGTGAAGGATCGTGTCAGTGGAAGGTCGAAAGGGTTAGTATAACAACTTGTTCTGCGTCTTCGAGAACCGTGCTTACTAGAATCTAGTGTTGGCTATGTCGAATTCAAGGACGAATCGTCTGTCCCACTTGCCATTCAGCTCACCGGCCAAAAGCTTTTAGGAATCCCCATCATTGCCCAACTGACCGAAGCGGAGAAGAATCGACAAGCCCGCAATCCCGAAGCCACTACTGGTCAATCGGCCTCAGCGCCGTTCCACAGGTTGTATGTTGGTAATATTCATTTCAGTATCACTGAAAACGATCTCCAGAATGTTTTCGAACCGTTTGGTGAACTTGAATTTGTTCAACTTCAGAAAGATGAAACTGCTCGCAGTCGCGGCTATGGATTTGTTCAGTAAGCAAGCTCCTTTCTTCACGCCCTTTTCGTTCATTCATTAACAATTTTTTCCCACCAGATTCCGCGATCCCAACCAGGCGAGAGAAGCGCTGGAAAAGATGAACGGTTTTGATCTTGCTGGTAGACCAATTCGTGTCGGCCTTGGGAACGATAAGTTTACTCCTGAATCAACAGCGAATCTTCTACAACGTTTCCAGGGACAAGGCCATCACCAACACCAACAACAACAATATCAAGGCTCCTCCTTTTCGGGCCACGGAGGCCGTAGCGTTCAAGCCGGCGCGGCGCCCAGCAACTTCGACCGTGCCGGTGGCCGAGACACAGACAAAGGAGCAGGCGGAGCAAGTGCTTTAGATGACACAGATGTTGCTGGTGTGAACTTCAACAATTATAGCAGAGATGCATTGATGAGGAAACTCGCGAGAACAGATGAACCCGAACCTTCTGCAGATGAGAAACTGCAGCCGCTACGGCCTAAGACAGAGCCCAAGCCATTGCCAGTGAACGTCAACATGGCAAGCAGGTGTGTCTTGCTTCGTAATATGTTTGACCCCGCAGAGTAAGTAGAAGCCACCCATCTTCTAATGAAATGAACGGCGCTAAAATCTTTATAGGGAAGAAGGCGATTCCTGGGTCAAGGAGTTAGAAGATGACGTCCGCGCTGAATGCGAGGAGAAATACGGTCATGTTGTTCACATTTCTCTAGATCCAAATTCGCAAGGAGACATATATCTTAAATTTGACCGTGTACAAGGAGGCGAGAACGCCATCAAAGGTCTTAACGGACGATTCTTCGGCGGCAAACAGATCAGCGCTCAACCGGTCGTCGATGCAGTCTATAGCAGTCTCTTCTCCCGTACCAAAGCGATTTAGACCTTCAGACGATGCATATAGAAAATGAGGAAGAAAAAGAAAAAGAAAGACGCAACCTTTCCCTTCCAACATCGACCGACCTGTTCGCTTGGTAGGTTCTTTTCTTCTCAAAGTTCTAACCTGTGGGTAGGATGAATCCCGTCTACAGCTGCGCTGTTACTTCTTTGTCTTAATCTTGATTGATTGAAATTGAGGCTGGAATTATGCTACCCCTGGTAGGTGCTTACACCAGACTAGATTCTGCCTCTATTTTTACTTCTTTACTATATTTGGTCAGCTAGATGTTCTACTTTTACTTGTTTCTATCTCTTCTAGGAGCCTGCCTGCCCATTCACTGGAGCAACGCTGTCGATTCTGGGTTATTTGTATATTTGATTGCCTGGCCAATTCATTATTTTTAGTCATTGTTCTCTTGTACGTTGTAGCAGTAGACTTGATAAGTGTGCATTGCATCTAGACTAGGCAGTTGCAGCATCAAAGAGTGAATATTGTCATTCACTTCTAAATAGAGCCTAAGCACATTCATTGTGCAGCTTGTGGTAGGTGGGCAACTGATAGACATGCTTCATCTAATGTGTATGCATATCAGATGCCATGGTGTAGGCAAGATATGAGATGAGATTAATCCAAAATATTCAGCAGATAGTATGATGCAGAGCATAATCTCTTTGTAGGTGGCAATCAGAGGATAAGGCCACACTGTCTATGTGTAAGAAATACTATCTGTTAGAGGGCTTTTATTGGACTGCCTGAGGCAACTGTTGACTGTTGACACTTTGGACAGCTTCCCTTTTAGGAATCGCGTCGTGAATCTGGCAATCCCCCAACATGCAGAGGCTGTCTCTGTTGACTTTGCTCATTTCACCTCTCGCTTAACCTCTCACTTTGTCTCTTACTTGCACACTCGCTTACACACTCTCTTAATCCATTCATGCTCTCTCACTTTTCCTACCTATCACTTTTTTGACACACTGTGATCTTGGAGAAACCTTCTTGGAAGACCAGCTTGACTCTTTCAGGACAGACTTATTCTAGTCACTCTGTGATCATAATTGGAAAGACTATCATCTGCTCATCATCTCTCTTTGCAAAGTAAGATATCCTACCAATCAAAGCTTCTTGCTGCTGACCAAGACTGAAGATAGCCTTTTTAAGAGCCATTCTCACGACTTTTCTTCTCAGTCTTTGGACAGAGTTGGCTCAATGAACGATCCCTTTGGAGAAGGGCATGGCCAAAGACCTGCGCAAACATCTTTGTCAGGTTCATACAGCATCCCTGGTCCCACAACGCCAACTAGAAGTTATGGCTTTCCACAGAACCATACACCTTCACGCGATCCATTTGCTTCAATCACCAGTCCTCACAACTTGAGAGTTCTGCTGACAGAGTCCGAGCTCATGAAGAAAACAATCCAAAAGGACTTGGCCTTGGCTAAGGAAGAGATCAAGTTGCGTGATGACCAGATAGCAAAGCTGCAAATTGAGATCCAAGCTATGCATGCACGCATAAGTCAGCAGGAGATCACAATCAGAAATCAATCGAGAACAATCCAAGATCCTCGCTCTTTGAGGGTACGTCGTGCTATGCATGGCCTCTTAGCTGTGCAAACTGCAATTATCCAGCCATGGCTGACTCCACCACAGACCGCAAACCTGTTTATTCATGCAGCGCAGCCTGTCCAGCAGGTATTGCCTCACGCTCATCCAGCTGTGTCTCCACTGCACAGCCAAGGAGTCGTGTCCCATTATGTGAACCACCAAGCAGTATCTATGCAACGTGGATTAGACACAGTCGCAGGTGCCAGGACTTTTGAGCCCATTGTACCCATAATGGAGCCTACCTCGCCTACCAGGGGTGCACCTTCACAGCAGGGAACGATCACCACAAGCAGTAACCTGAGTAGCGAAGTGGTCAGCACATTCCAAGGTTCACCTTACGTAGGTTTTGAATTTGAAACAAAGGCAGCAGAGTTTGGAACTCGTTTTCTCTCTCTGTGGGCAAAGTCAGACCAATTTGCCAAAACCTATGGCATGAATTTCAAAGAGCTCAACCCTCATCAACTCGACGCATGTCTAAAGGACCACATGATGCTAGACGGTGACGCAGATGTTGCAATGCAGTATCTTAATAACTCGGTGCTCAGGCCACTATATGTGGCAAAAGTCATCAACTTTTATCTGTGCAAGAGGGTGTTGAAATACACAGAGATTGTCCGCGGCTTTGACTCCATTGTCGATGTAGAAATAGCCAATTTGAAGAGAATGATTGTGCATGGTTAGTATTATTCTCCATCGAAGCATTAAATACATATTGACATGACATGTCGACATCGACAGATACTCCTCCAGTCGCTAGACACAGTATCCTGGCCAGAATTGCCGACCAAGTAAACTTTGTCCGACAGCAGCCGAACTTCAAGAATTTCTGTCAAGGCAGCAAAGATGGGCATGGTTACCAGTTGCGGGCGTTACTTGATCCTCTATTGCTTCATCGTGGGAGAGAGTCAGTCGCGCATGATTTGCTGATTGAGCTCATTGCGGACGCTCAAAAAATCGCCCTTGATCTCTATTCGTGCCCCTTTGATGCAAGACTCCATTTCCCAGAAGTTGGCGAGGGATATGATCCTACGTGCATGGTGATTTTGGATTCCAGCGATTCCAGGTATGGCATAACTCAAGTCAGAATGTCCGTGACGCCTTTTGTTCGCCTGGGCTTGAATCAGACAGATCCAGCACGTGTGAGAAATGTCTCGAATGCAAAAGTCTTCGTCTGTCTTCCAGGTGAAGAAGGAGAATCGTTTTCCGTTTCTCTCACCCCGGGGAGGTCCTAGAACTGGTGTAATTTTTTTTTTCTTTTCGTTTGAAATTGGTTGGGTGAAGTTGGTAGGGTGCTTCGAAGGCCTCTTCCCTGATAGGCAGATCAAAGCTTCTTTTTCTCTTTTGGTGGTGTTTTGGCAGAAATCCCCTCGTTGATATCGTCAAGCCCCCTCATGGTTTGTCGTGCCGGGAAAATTGGAGGCCGTGTTGTTTGATTCGAAAACATTTTGGCTCATTTGTGTACAATAACAAAAAGAAAACCCAAAAAAAGGAGCAGAAGAAAGTAGAAATGGAAGCGAGCCGTTAAATATGATCGTTGTGTCCTTCAAAGCAAAGAGCGTGGTAGTGGTTGTTGTTGTTCATGCGAGGAAGGGCGACTGACGACATCATCCCTGGAAAGAAGGCCTGACCGCCGGCAGTTCAGTTGCCTCGCACTCCAACCACGCTGCGTTCTTACCCTGTCCGTCTGCACCTCGCGTCGACGATGGTCTAGTCGCAATAGGCGGCATACAAGGAAACCAGACACAGCATAATCGCCTACTTCTGATGCTCTCTACTTATGATTCAGGCTCGAGCAAGGCCGGTGGCCGTCCAGGCTTGGGCCGTGGCCGATAGTAACAGTGCGCTGGGCCCCTCCTACGTTGCAGGGCGATCTCACCTTGAACCAGGTTTCATCGCTACGTTCGTGCGTCGCTATAACCATCAGAGCATAAACTGCAACGCGAGATGCAGAGATCGCCTCGCAAACCGGCGCTACTTTCACGACTACTTCGTCACGCACCTTCCGTCTTCTTCCTTGCATCCCGATTCACGTGGACCGCCCTCGTTTCATAAGCTTCCTCGTTCTGCGTCGACGCCGCATACCAGTGCGAGCACTCGGTTGTCTCCTGCGTCAATACAAACCCCTATTGGCGTTAACCGCGACACCACGGTAGTGCGGATTCCACTGCGCAGTGCGAAACACCACTTCGGGGCATCTGTATCGCGCGGGTCACGCCAGTACAATGAAGACGCATACCAGGCCGGTGTTATTGAGTTGCCCGCATTCGCGAAACGATCTCCTCTATCGTTGACCATCAATCGTGCGTCCGGTGCCGAGTCCGTTGCCGTTACTTCTGGGGCGGACAGCGCCAGCGGAGATCCACAGGTATTTTACTTTGGCGTCTTCGACGGCCATGGTGGTTCTGAGTGTAGCAGCTTTCTTCGAGACCGTCTACATGAATACATTCAAGATAGTGCCGCGGAGTTTGAAATACAGTCCAGTCTAAAGGACAAGACTGAAAGAAAGCGGGACTGCCGTGGAAGACAACAAGCCGATCAGCATGGGTTATACCGTGCCGACCTGCCAATCATACAAAATGCAAACACGAACAAGATAAAGTCTCTTGAAAATGAAATGGTACAGTCTTGGAAGTATCTAGTCGGGGGCTATTTCAAACGATTCAAACCCTCACACTTCTCTTGCCTGGGAGACGGCGCTTACTCCGCGGCCCTTTCACAGACGCTTGGAGTAGATCAGGGCGCAAAGAAAGCGGATAGCGGAGTTTCGATGGAAGAGTTGCTAGAGTATGCCTTTTTGAAGGCAGACTTGGATTTCGTGTCAGCGCAGGCGGCGAAGAAAGACGACGATCTCGTGCAATCAGATCAACCGCTAAACGAAGACGATATTCTTTACAGTCCAAGTCAATCGCGCCGTGCATTCATCGGAGGGCCCAAACTGTTTCCAGGGGGAAGCACTTGCAGTGTCGCCATGATATCAGCACCAACAGCGACACCCTTTTGGCATCCGGCAACTCCCTCCTCGCTCTTGGTTTCACACGTCGGCGATACTAGAGTTTTGCTGTGCGATACAGCTACTGGAGCGGCCATTCCTTTGACCACAGATCATCACCCATCCTCTCCAGTCGAAGCCAACCGCCTGCGACGTTATGCTGCCACGTTCGTTACCGATTCCTTCGGGGAGGAACGCGTAAGCGGACTGGCTAACACCAGAGCGTTTGGCGATATTCACTCGAAACGGATTGGGGTATCAGCGGAACCAGAAATTCGTCGGATTGAGATGGCGCCGGCAGAGTTTTCCTGTCTCGTGCTGATGTCAGATGGCATAAGCGGAACACTTCCAGACCAGGAAATCGTGGACATCATAAAAGAGGCTCGCACGCCAGAGCAAGCGGCCCGTGATGTCGTCAATTTCGCAACCGACATCAGCAAAGATGCCGATAATGCGACTTGTCTGGTGGTGCGTCTCGGCGGTTGGGAACGCAGACTGGAGGGTGGCTTGGGCAGCATGGGCACAAAGGAGGCCCGCGATTTTCGAAGACAGGAAGCTACAGACCCGCGTCGATCTCGCACGTAAAGTCAAGGCGAGTGAGCGTTGAGGTCATCCATTGTATATAGTAACGAGACGGGCCTACATCCATGGTATGTAGGAGGCATAAATAAATAATTGCATATTCCAGAGCTGGCTTTGTTGTTATCTTCGCCGTAATTGACGCTATGCATGCATTGGTAATTATACGTAGTAGGTTTATTATTCTAGATCGAAAGGCGAGGCGAGGATATAACAAGAGTAACTTAGTTGACTTATTAACTAGCTAGATTGTTTAGATAAGCTTCGTCTCTCGCAGCAGCCTGGGAGCCTGAGGCTCTGGCTGGAGCGATAAGCCGGCTTCTTCGCGCGAGCATCAAAGGAGAAAACCACCATCCACCTTATCAACGCTGTTGGCGTCGTGTGCCTTGCCCCTCAACTTGCCTATCGCCTAATTATCCCTCCCTTGGTCCTTCTTTTTAATTTTTTTATTTCATTTCGTTTTTCTTTTCTCCTGTTTGCCCCTTTTCGACCTCCACGTCGTACCCGCGGCCTCTCCGAGCTCAATCCGGATTTGTGTTAATTTACAAATCTTCACTTGGGGAGCAACCCCCGGGCTACATAGCAAGTCGAGGGCCCACGGACTGTTTGACCACCTTGCATGTGCCATACATCTCATCTTCTTGTTTCACGGTAAGTTGTTGCAACGCTATCTCGATGTATTTTCGAATGCTTGTTGCTGCGGACTAGGCATACTGGACAGTTGCACTGATGCATACCAGCAAGCTTCCACGGCCGGATACACGCTCGCTCGTTTCTACTGCCTAGTTCTTCTCGGCTCTCTACAATTACACACAGACAACGGACCGACCTTCTCCGCAAATTCCTCTAGAATCGCGATCGCGTGACCACCGTTTAATTATTTACCATGAGTGTGAGAACAAGGAGACAGAAAGCCGCTGAGACGGCCACGGCCGATGAAAAGCCCGCGCCAACAGGCAACGGAGTCGCACGCGCAACTTCTGCTCAGAAGGGAGCTGAAGCTGGGCCGCGTGAAAATGTCTATTTGTTCTGGCCGAACATCGTCGGTAAGCTTGAACTCTCCTGTGTGTTTTGTAGTTTCTCTCCCTCCAATTGCTAAGAAGTATACTCTCATCAGGCTATGCCCGAGTCGTCTTGGCAGTAGCATCACTATACTACATGCCCCTTCACCCACGAACGTGCTCATTTTTATACAGTATCTCGTGCTTGTTGGATGCTCTGGATGGATATCTCGCGCGATTATTCCATCAATCTACCACATTTGGCAGCGTGCTCGACATGGTTACGGACCGTTGCACGACTGCATGTCTGTTGGTTTTCTTGAGCTCAGCTTGGCCCCGCTGGTCCATCGTCTTCCAGGGCTTGATCAGTCTGGATCTCGCCAGTCACTACATGCACATGTATGCTACCCTGAGCATGGGTGGTGCTGGACAGAGCCACAAGAAAGTCGACTCGAGCCGCAGCTGGATTTTACATAAATATTATACAAGCAGGGTATGGTTGCTGGAATTATTCGTCCTCTATTTTCTTTTCAACTTGACTGACCTAACCATCACAGACCGTGTTGTTCGTGTTCTGCCTCTTTAACGAGCTGTTCTTCATTGGATTATATCTGCTTTCGTTCTCGTCGCCGAAACTGTCCCCATCTTTATTGCAACCACCTCCAAACATCGAGCCCATGACCGCTCAGCCAGGAAACCCGGCGCATGAACCGCCCAGTTCACTGTTTGCTAGTCCATGGAGTGCGGGCGCCCTTGAACTAGCTCGTGCAAACAAGCTAGACAGCACTTTGCCATGGATAATCACCGGTGTTTCGGCTCCCATCATGGCTATAAAGCAGTTTATCAATGTTGTACAGATGGTGAAAGCCAGCAACTGGCTTGTAGAGGGAGATCTCGCTACCCGCAGAGCTGCCAGGGCTGAGGGCAAATTGGCTTAGATTTCAATCTCAGTTGGAATATTAACAGAGAGAGCCAAGGCTAGTGAGTAGTATTTATATTCCAACAACTACGCTGCAATCCTCTTAAGATTGGCAGCTGGGAACTTCGTCTGGGGGACTCCGGCGGACCTCTTTGTGTCCCAATTACCAGCAATTATCACTTTTAATAGCGCATGTCAACTGTTCTAGTCAATCGGGAACGAGGTTGAGAGGTGATTCCAAGATTCGTGTACATTGTCAACCGGCGTCGTTGGATTTGGTATTATTATGTTTATTATGTTAATCGTTATGTTATCTTTTGCCCTTCTTACATCCATGTGTCTGATTCCGATTCCCCGCCATCTTGCTTGTTATCATAACCAGTATGTGGGCGGATCATCTCAAGCTGTGTGGTTAATGTTAATTGCAATGCTTCAAAGTTCATACATACATCATCCATCGTGGTTCAATCTTTATCCCGGCAGCTTAAAGCCTGATACGGCAGCCTATTCGTACAACCTTGCCAAAATTCGTAATGTATTGAAATATAATAATGCTATAGAAAACAAAATAATGCCTATATAGCTCACTTATAATAGAAGCTAATCCATTTATAGATTAATCTATATATATATAGAACTATATAACCTAATTTTATTTCTATATAGAGTCCTTTAATAACTTTGAATATTCTTATAGATTTTTAGTATATTAAGATATTTTGATTTATAGACTTACTAAGACTTAATCTAACTTCTTTAAACCTATTAACTTGTCTTTTCTTCTTATAATTTATCAAAAATTCTCCTCTATTAAATAGAATAAGTAATATAATATAACTATCTTATTTTAATTAAATTACATTCAGCTTATTAATTTAAAATTAAATTTTAATTTAATTAATTAATTTAAAATACTAAAAATTGCTAATTATTAAGTAGTAAATAAGATAATAGATAATTCTTATAATTGTATTTTATTTGATTAGTGAGATTATTCTTAAATAATCTTTTTTTAAAAGTTAATATATAAATAGAACTTTTTTTTTACTTATATTATTTATTAAAGAAGTAGATATTTATTCTAAATAATTAAATTAAAAAAAGAGTTCTAAGGTATAAGAATTTTAAAATTTTTTTTATAATAATATCTTCTTAGATAACCCTTTTTAAAAGCTAATATATAAATAAAACTCTTTTCTTACTTATTTTATCTATTAAAGAAGTAGATATTTATTTTAAATAGATTAAAAAAAAAATTTTAAAATATAAGAATTTTAAAACTCTTTTTATAATAGTACTTTAAATAATAGAGAGACTGATGATTAAAAGTTATAATAGTAAAATAGACTTTAATAATATAGAATCTAAGAATCTTATTAATAATCCTTCTAAATTACTAAAAAATAATCTTAAAATTTTAGATCTATCCTTAGATAGTAAATTATTTAGTCCATTATCAAGTAATAAATTAGATAATAAGATAAATCCTAAAAAAAAACCTATAAAAAAGATAGTAATAACTTAAAAAAATATTACTTATAAATTTTTATTACCTCTAGATTTAACTTTCTACTAATATAGAGAATAATAAAAAAAATTCTTAAGAATTTAAATAAAAATGTTTTAGTTCTATAGTAATATTTTAAGCTTATATCTAATAAAAAATAAAAAATCTAATTATAAAGCTTGAACTTTCTCTCTTATTAGAAAAAATTATAGAATTATTAGCTCTCTAAATAGAAAAAGCAATATTATAGTCCTAATATTAAGCAGATTCTTTTAGTTATATATATTAAAGTAAAGGATTTTGATAAGAAACATATTAATAAAGATGACTAAAATGATATTTATTATTATATATATTTTATATACCAAATTCTACAAAGGAATCTCAATTATATAGATAAACTTTTTAAATTTTATCTTATAAATCTTAATAAAACTAAATATTATCTTTAGATTACTATAAAATATATTTAATATAAATTTGCACTATTCTAATAATATAAATCCTTAAATAGTTATATATTGCTATATAGAGAAACTTATAAAAAAAAAGATTATTCTACTAAATCTACTTCTTATAAATTAAAGAAATAATCTAAAAAGAGTTTTATATAAAATCTTATTTTAGATAATCTTATTTTTAATCCCTCTAATCTAAGTATCACTTCTATTAATAGTATAGACTCTTCTTTAAAACTTAATATAAATACTAGCTCTAATAATAATAAAATTAATTTATTTTCTATAAATATTAAAAAAATTATAGCTCTAATTAATATTATCTTAATTAATTCTTAAAAGAAAATAATCTAATCTTATATCTAAGAGAAGTATTTAGTAAAATAATCTAAAGAATTTAATCTTAATAATCTATATTAGTATTTAATATTTACTTAGACAACTTTATATTATATAGAACTAAATAATAAAGATAAAATCTAGATTCTATTATCTTCTAAAACTAAGAATAATAATACTAATTAGTTAAATAATAAATCTACTAGATTAGATCTAAGTAAAGCTATATAGTATAGTATAATAATAAATACTTTAATTTTTAAACTTATAGATCTAAATTCTAAAAAAAACTATAGTAAAATTATTTATATCTCTAATTCTTTTAACTATCTAAAATTTAAGAATATAGCTATAAAATAAAAAGATTATAAAAAGAAAAATATTTCTTTAAATTATCTTCTTAATATTTTAGAGTAATCTTTTATTAACTACTAGAAGAAGTTTATATAATTAAATAATTCTAATTTCTAATTTTTTAATTTTAATAAAGCACATGAAGCTCTTTATTTTATAACAGCTAAAAAAAATAATAATGTCTTTATTTAGACTTATTATAAATATATATATTTTAATCTAAATTTAGAGATTTAGTAAGTGCTTAGTATAGCTTATTTGATTAAGATAATAGAGAAGATTTATTCTAATAGATCTCTATTGTTCTATAATAGGTTCCTTAATAATATTATAAGACTTAGAAAGACTTTTTAAGTAATAATTTTTATATTAGAGATAAATCTTATATTTATTAAAAAAGAATTCTAAAATTCTTTTTTAGTCTTTTTTTATAATAATTTTATAAATTTTAAAATCTTTTTCTAAGTGATTTCCTCTAATTTCTTGTTAGCTATTATATTAATTAAAAGTTTAGTAAATTATATAAGAATTTTTAAAAAAGACAAATTTAAATAAATATAGCTTTAAGTTAATTTATTGACTATTCCTTCTTATTATTTCCTCTATTATTCTTATCTAGTAGATTAATAAGATAAATACTATTATAAAGTATCTCTAGGTATATATATTATATAGAAATCTTAAAGCTATTAAGACTAAGACTTTTAAAAATATAAAGTTTATTAAAAATTTATTAATTCCTTCTTATAAGCTTTTTAATGATTTATTTTCTTAATTAAACTATATTATTATAATAAATTATAATATATTCTAGAGCTACTATAGTCCTTTAGTCTATAAGAAATAAGAAAACTAGAAGAAAGCATATTATAAAAAGAAAAATAACTCATTTATTATAAAATTATAACTAGGCGATCTTAATAGATTTTTTTATTATATTATCTTTAATAAGGCTCACACATTATATAATACTAATAGTAGCTTATTTACAACTATCTAATAGCTTAAAGCTAGTTTTTATCTTCTCTTATTAGCTATTATTTTCTATAATAATATCCTAGACTTCTAAGGCTATATATCTCTTATTATACCTAAATAATCTAATATAATTTAAGAGAATATATAAATTTTATAAAGCCTTAATATTATAAATATTACTAATTCTTTTTTATTACTTAAGAAGTATCTAATAAATTTTTTAAGATTTACAACATATATACTTAAAAAATATATTTTTATAGATAATATTACTATCTAGATTATAAATATTTATCTAAAAGATATTTTAAAGTACCTAAATATTAAATAAACCCTTTTTTTATCTATCTAAATTAGATTTAATTGCTTAATTATTAGCTCCCATATTTCTCTATCCTAAATATATATGATCTATATTAAGTTCTTATATAATAAAAAGGCAATATATAATTAGATAATTATTCTTTATTATAAAAACTTAATAATAAAAAAGAATAATAAAGTCATAATAAATATAGCAAAATACTAGATACTAATACTACTAATTTTCTAGCTTAGTATAGAGTTTACTAAGAAGCTTCTTACAGTAAGAATATTTAAAAATATTCTATATTTATTTTATCTTAAAATTATATATTAAAGTCTTACTTAGGTAATTTATTCTAAAAAATCCCTTATATCTTCTTCAAAATAGTTCTAGAGAACTTATCACCTAGGAAAAGTTACTTAACTATTAGTTAATATATTTAGAACCTTTTTATGAGGCTTTCTGAAAATAAGAGTTATACTATCTATTATTATATATAATTCTCTCATTTATTAGAAGAAATAAATTATTTAATATTTCTTTTTAGTTATCTAGATATATGTTGTAGTTATCTTAAAAGAGTGCAGCATTAATATAAGAATATTTTATTCTAAACTTGATTAATTATAGCGCTAGATATTAATTATAAAATTTACCATTATAGATAAATACTTTATTTTAGTTATATTCTTAGCTATTAATATTCTAGGATTAAACTTGCACTTTTAATATAATATTATATACTTTTTTAACTTACCTCTTACTAAATTTATTATAAATTAAGCTATCAGATATTTTTAATACTTTAATTAGAATTATATAGTTATTATCTATATTTACTTAGTAATTAATAATTAGAATAATATTTAATAGTCTAAATCTAATAAGAAAATAGTCATAAGTATACTTTATAACTTAAACTTAGTAATATTCAAACTTATAATTAAAAGCTCTAATAAAATTTCTATTAATAATCTTATTATACGAAATAATACTCTCTACTAATTAAGATCTAATAAAACTCTCTTATCTTCTAATAATACTAATAATAAAGATATTATTGCTACTATTTAAAA